CTCTAATCCAATTCTCACTGTCTTTGTGCGAGGGAGAAAAGTGAAAAATGTCTTCAACCCATTTCACACTCAAATCCGAGGTGAGGAAGTGTGGTAGCACTTGCATCAATCCGACGAGACTATATCCATAAATTTCCTCCCTATTCATTCAGCAAACGATGCTGCTTTCACGCGTCTCGGGGCCTTTCCGATTTACATAAATCAAATAAGAGGCCAAGGACCGATGCCAGGAGTGGAAATCACAATAAAAAGAGTATACTGTATATATTTCTGAATATATATTACGAAATGCAAAGGTCGAAATAAGCGCTGAAGGAAATGTCCTTGCATTGTGTAGCTCACCGTCCTTGTAAGTCAGAATATTCACTACAAGGATGGGGTTCTCGGAATTTCTTTGGGAAAATCCTTGTGCTACAGTATTCTTAGAAATATTCCCTAGGAAGGCCACCAGCCTGGAAAACACGAGGCGGAGTTCATTTCTTTTCTTAATTGATTTACGATGCACAATATATTTGTGACCTAGTAACACTGCGGGACGGAGGACGGGGATGGGAGGATATGGAAGGGGGGAGAGGGGACGGAGGAAGGAGAAGGAGGGAAGGAGGGAGCGGGAAGGGGGGAAGGGGACTGGGGGAAGGGGAAGGGGGCTGGAATGTGTGGAGAGTTTTCTATCCAGGTTTTCCTGATCGCGGCGACGGCTTTCATTGGCGATAGTGATGCAGTTTTCCTAAAATAGCACCTGAAATGCATAAAAATAGCACGACCATCGCACCATAAGTCTTGGAGCCGCACAATTTCCCGTAAGTTCTTCTTTTCGAGAAGAAATTCCCCACTCCCTCGGCATTTTCGAGCTCCTTCTCTGTCATTTCCTCATTTTAATTTTGTACCTCGAGGCTTTTTAGAATGAATTGAGTCCATCTTACTGAATGAAACCCCTTCTTCAGTCAGTTCGGGAATGTTCAATTTAATGCTGCTGCGAAGGTCACTCTCTGGAGAGGACAAAGGAAAGATGCTGAGTTTTTTTTTTTCCTCTCGACGATTGGAATGCCCTTTCATCCTCATCGCTCTCCCATCTGTCCCCATCTATCCCCCTTCTGTCCCTTCTATCCCCCTTCTGTCCCTTCTATCCCCTTTGTGTCCCCTTCTGTCTCTTCTGTCCCGGCAGGGAATTGTGTCTCGGCTTCCGCATCTTTCTTTTTCTGCAGTTTCGCTGCGTTGCATAGCCCCGTTTGCGGATGGAACACCAAACCGAAAATATGGGAAAACAATGCAGGAATATGAAAGATTCCAGGAGTCTCACCTGCAGCTTCCTTGCAAACAGAAATGTGAAGTAGGTCCAGGAGCCTCTCAGCCGTTTAGGCTACATAGACGTGCAACGTTGGAAATGGTTTCAATTCCATCCATATTACCCTTGTGACCCTATCGCTCGCATCGGAGCGTCATCATTGGAAAGGTTTTATTTGTTTTTGTAGCCACCCTGTAGAGACACGGATAACGGTGTGTGGTTTGCAAGTAGGGAAGGCTAAGCGAAGCGAAAAATAAACGGATTGCCTAAAAGCAGAAATGACTGAAAGGAGTAATTTATCCTGAATGCAGGCAGTCCTTAAATATATTTTACAGAGCGTCACTGAGAGAATACAATCCTCGAACGTACTCCCCATCCCCGAAGGATGGTATCTGCCATATTTTGCAATGTACATTTTTTCAAGCCCCGACTTGGACAAGCGGACGTGACGGACTGCGACAACGTGCTTCTCCACTTCAAGTCTCGCGAGGAAAAAGATCTGGAGAAAGAGTTCATAATCGTGAAATACCTCGGAGCTTATGTCGATCTGGCATCCGTCGCCTTCACAGTCGTCTACAAAAGCGGTATGCGCCTCTTATCTTATCAGATCACCAGACCATAAAAAAAACTCTGGAAACGCATGAAAAAGTGACCCGATTTCCAGCGACAAGTCACTACGGTTCGGTCTATCTGGAAACATGGCGGGAAGAAACGGTGAAGTCCCAGAGGCATTACCTCCACAATCTCGTCGGACCGTTGGAAAGCGAAGCCGAGGAATACGGTCGATCTCCGTTCGTTCATCTGCACGATTTCAACGCGTCCATTTTTTTCCTTCACGCGTCACGATGGATTTTGTTTTTTTTTTTTTAACTTTGGTTAATGGCTTTTCGGTTTAGGTCGTACAGGTCCCGAGCCTTTGGGATTTTCCCTCTACCTCTGCAGATCGTGAATCACATGCATTCGAAGCTGCTGCGCAAATCCATGAAAGGAGCGGGTCTGCCGACGGTCATCTCTCTTCATCGCCGAGTAAACATCACATTGGGCACTAGGGTTAGACAAATAGGGTTTGGAATCATAAAGATGGAGGATTCCAGTTTTCCGTGCTTTTGGCGTGTAATCTTTACGCTATCTCTAGGAATAATCAGTGATTAAATGCTCACCTGCTGGCGATTCATGAGAGATAAAATTGGACTGATCTGTTACGAAATTTCAGTTTGAATCGTGAAAGGTTTGAGCCGCATGGAATAACATTCCAAATTATCGTGAGGAATTCCCAGGATCAGACCCATTTTATGAATCAACAAAGTTTTCCAGCTCTTCTGCAGTTTTCCCCAGGTCTTGGCAATATAGCGGCATCGTGCGGCCATGGACCGAAGCAACAGGATTATATTGAGCATCTCAAAGGAATCCTGCTGATTTGTTTCTACCTCTGAATAGACCTCGCTCAGCACAGAGACACCTCTTACCCTCCTAAAACCAGGTGCTTTTCTCAGGAACGTAGCCAGAAAGTAATTTCCTGGGTGGTCCTAGAAGGCGGGAAAGGGAGGGTGAGGGCTTAGTAGCTGTTATCCCTACTCCGACTCCCATTCTTTACATTCTGACTGCATTTTCCCCCCCTTTGAATTCTCTCTTTTCTTGAAATTTTTCTAATTTCGGAGGATGTCCCCCCCCCCCCCCAACATCATCCATTTTGGCCTAGCCCTAGTACTTTTATGCCAACCTGTGGTAACCAGAATTGGTCGAAGCGTAGGCAACTTTCTCTGCAAAGATTGGGGATGTGTAAATTCAATTCAGATAGCATATGATTCTATTGCAGTTTTGAATCCAACTTAGATCTTCGCGAAATTCACGAGAAATCAAAAGCATTCGACAAAGACTAATGACTTTTCATTCCCCCCTTATATTCGATCAACCGTCCGATTAGAATAATCAGGTTCTGGTCATGCTGCTGAGGAAGAGACAGCCTCAAGTAGAGAATTTCTACAAAAAGGCTTCTTCAGGTAGCTATAATTGTCTCTGGGATCACCTCTTCGTAAATTCAAATAACGCAACCCTGCAAGCGTAAATTTGTACAGAGGCGAGGGGGATGGTATCTAAACAAAACAAATCGACGAAAATACCGAATTTGCTGGGCTTGGATGAGATTGAGGGTTCCTCCTATGTTCCATCAACTTCTACAACTGGTCCAACTAACTTCTTAATTCGTCTAGAAACCCCATGCAAAACGAGATGAGCAGCACAAAAGCGGAAGGAGCAAAAGAAACCGAATTTCAAGACAATCATGAATATAAAAATGTTTTCTTCTCACTTCTGCGTGCAAATAAATGTGGAGCTAAAAGATCAATGCATTCGAATCTATGATTGAAAAAGCCGAGACTGCCAAATTTTCTTGCCGCAGGGAGCGACGTGCTCAAGTGGCTGAACGAATCTTTAATTCCAACACTGTTGTTTACTTCGTCACACTGGACAAAATAATTGAGAAAGTCTGGCGTAACCGCCTGGAAGAAGTTGTCAAGTCGTCCTGTTTCCTCCGTCCCAGCAAACGCGAGACATTTACTTTGGAAGAAGTTGTGTGCAGTGCGGTGAACTCGTGAAGAAATATTCCTATTTCACGCATGAATTTCCACACGAGAACATGACATTCTAGCAGCTTTACTGTGAAGGATCTGTGAGGCCTCACATCATGTTATATCCACTTCCATGACAGGATCATGATATGGAAATATCGCACGATCATATGACTGCAACTAATAAAAACAAACAAGCAGCTCTTTCGAAATACCGCCTGGACCATCAACACAGATGGCCATACAAGTACTTTTCCCTTAAAAATACGCAATGGAGGGCAGGCGAAGAAACCTTGATATCGACAGTGAATTGTCCATTGTCGAGGAGAATAGCTGATAAAAAGATCGCTAAGTTCGTAATCATCATGGCGTCTCGTAGGTGCGAGGCGCCATTATTTCGAACGGGAATTAAATAGAACTCGCAATAGCTTGACGACAAAATATTGTAGAACCCAAATTGCTTTTTAATTTTCAATGGTCTATTTTACTGACGTGCAACGTGCATTTGCTGGTGCTCTTTTTTTCTGGCGCTATCAGGTCATGGCTTCCGAAAGTCTGAGAACCGACAGAGCCTTGGAAGCAGAGTACATCTACGCGACCATCGGGAAAATGAAACCCGCCGAGAAACCCAGAAGCGAGGGATGATTTCGCTTGACGGAATTGGATCCTCCGTGTCCCACGATTGACTGCAGCAACGTCCCTAGTCTCGTTTAGAGCTCGGCCTTCACTTTATGCATGGAGCTGATGCTTTTCGATTTTACGCAGCTATTCATTGCGAAAGTCAACTCGGTCGTTCTGAGGTGAATGAGATTGGGAGATGAGCATACATGGATCCAGAACTAATTTCCTGAAAACTACATGCCTCGCAGTCCGTAAAAAAAAAAAAAAATCGGTAAAGGTATCCTAATGAATCAGTCCTACAAATCTAATCGCTGGATTTTCTTTCTTTCCCGGCAGCTCTAAAGGATACAGTATGGTTTCAATTTCAATGCAAATCCTCCCTGCCTTCCCATTCGAAAAGGCTCGTCCCCAATTCTAAACTCAAGCTTGGCATACCCATGAATACAACATATATAGGCGTATGTCCGTGAATCATGCCGCTTTCAAAGTCAACACCACTCAACAATTGTGTGAAGAAAAGTCAGAAAGCCGTGATCAATCTCAATATATTTTCTGATAAGCAATCTTCAAAAACAATAAGCAATTCAGACCTTCCCAGAAACAAGCTCGTGGGATCTCAACAAACTTTTCCCTTTGCGATTGCACTGGCATAAAGAAAAATCCATTCCCAAGAGAGGAAACAGCAAGGAGAAAATACGTCTTTGCCTCTTTCTATAACCCTATGTATGTTTAAAAAACTAGATATTCTGGTAATTCACTAGTTTCAATTCCCGTGTTCAGGGGCCGTGTTGAAGACAATGAAGGACATTTCATGTAAGCTTTTTCATCTTTAGTCCCTGAAGTGACTAGAAAGTATGGCTCCTTTCTAGCAAGACCTCAACTTGCAAGAACTACTAAATGTTTCATTGGAAAAGATGACTGGCCACTCAAAAACCATTTGTTAGTAAAATCTATTAAAGAACGAAACCAAGAGAGTAACACATCAAAGAAAGAGATCTACGTGACCATACAGTTCTATATATGTACATTCAAAAACTGAGGACGTTGCCAGCAGCTTGGTCCCTGAATATAAAACAACCACAAAATCATGGTTTCACAGAAACAAATGCAGACTACACAAATAGATGTTAGATGTTTTCTGTTTCTCTTGCGTAGAGATCAGCCTTGTACGGACATGATGCAAAGGGCACAAGCTCAAACCTTCCACCCAGCCCAGGGACTTAAAGGAGAATTTTAACACAGGGAGAATGAGATTATTCTCCTGTTGTTTTGAACCTCGCAAGCCAGGACATCTTTGTTCCTATGAAAACTTAATTATCTAAAAGAAGGAAACATTCCCCTTATAGTTCCTGTAATGAGAAATTTTAAATGTTGAGATTTACCTGCCAAGTTGCAGATCTACCTGAATTTCCATGGAAAGGTACTCCATGCAACTCATATGTTTTAGTCCAATTTGCCTTAGAGGGTGGCTCATTAGGATTCTTTGCTTTTCGAAAACTGAGCAGTAAAAAAGTTCAACAGAGACAGGGAATATATTTTAATCCCGTAGGACAGTTTCCCCAAAGGTCACATGCAGTTTGCAGGGTTTGACCCCAGTCAGTTTGCAGTTAGTTCCTGCTTTCCTCTTCATAATCAGCCTGCTCAGGCAACCAGAAATAAGTCTAGACAGGCATGAAGCCAACTTCTACATCAAGGTCCTGGTGAAGCTGGCTTTATCCAACTGAAGTGCTATATTGAGGATTGACCAGGAATGAAGTTCTAGATTGCATTCATTTTGTGGTGACTCAGTTTCAGATCTGAATGGACTTAATCAGTTTGGCTTTCACTGACCAAAATGGTCTGCTTACTGCTTCTTAATTGTAATATGTACCAATACTTCATACTGTCCTAAAAAATGGTAAGTCTGTAACACAAAACATTTGCAATAATCTCAAAAAGAACTTCATATCCAATGGTGTATTCATTTCTGACACAAGGACAGCCAACTCAATTACAGCATGTTATGAAACAGGGATTCTTATGAGATACTTAATGAACAGGGATGCAATCAAGACTTCTTAATTATAGCCATTTTAATATAGAGAGCAACAGGTTTCTCACATGCTGGCTGTTCAGGGAGAGAGAGAGAAGGGAAAGAGAGAGATACAACAGTAAGCGAATGGCTGGTGAATTCAATAGATGCATCCATGCTGATAAATGATGCAAATGATCCTCATTTCCCACCCCAGGGCCAATTCCAGAGGAATTTCCAAAGGAATGAAGGAATAATTTTTTTTTTGCAACACCAGACAGCCTCAATACCAGGCCGAAGGTCGACTTGCTTATTCCTTCTCTATTATGAAAAGCACAAAATGAGTTTATGAGACTGAACTTCAACTTGTGAGTTCTCATTCATGCTTGCTTCCAACTGAACCTTGGAGGAAGGCTCTATAAAGAGAAGTAACCATGTGTCAACAACTGCGATGCATTTCACCAGATGGAATTATGCCCCCAGAAGTGAGTGGGCTGTCCTGGAGTCTGAGCAATGGCTTGATTAAGTTGGGGGAACATTCTGACAAAAGATACCCAAAGCAGCCACATTTGAGCAAAAAAAATGTAAACCTGACAGTTGTGCAGAACAGCTTAGTCAGCAAACCAAACTGAAGGTATAAGAAGCTACCACAGATATTGGCAAGGTTTACAACTGCAATCTTGGTCACTCTAAAAATAATGCCTTAAACTGAATATGTAAAACTACAGTGTGTTAACAGCTCCTTGAAGGCTGTGATGCATTCATTTTAGAGTTTCAACCTGGAGCACAGGGTGTGTCATAACATGAATCTGACACTGAAAAGGTTCTGGGTGCCAAAATCATGATCCAAGTTCATACTTGGGCAATGAAAGAGGAAAGTAAGATGGATAAGACATCATACAACATACAACTTTGAACTGTAGGGATCACTTCCAGCAGGCAGTGAACATGTAATATCAACCCTCAGAATGTCATGCTTATTCTCGTCAAACAACACACAAATCCAAAGGTCCAAGGACACACTGACAAAAATAGTTGGATAAACCAGGGGTTTCCCCTATTTCTCTCCTCTTCCCCAGAATCATCCCAAATGATAACGTTTTCACAGTCAGCTGGACCTTGAAGAACATCTGCTTTCACAGAGTTCCATCACTTGATGTAGCAGTTGATCTAATCTCCATGTTTTGCACCTGATGATCACATTTACTATACAAGCAACAGGAAAGATTGCTTGTGAATGTGTACCTGCTAGCTTATAATCCATTACTGGCAGGTGGATGTGATGTCCACTGACACATTCAAGTTGAACTATCAAACATGAGGTAACTAGTGGCTACTCCTTTGAGCTGGTAAATATTCTTCAAAAATGAAGTAAGACATTCAGCCCAAAGGAGATTGAACTCAAACCATCTAATTGAGACTACAGAGATGGGAATGACTGAGAACTTGTGCCCTGGAAGCCACAGGATTCAACAGCTGACAGACAGTCACATAGTGGCTGATCTAAAAAATGATCAGGGGTTTCAGTATGAACCCCAGTATTCCAGGTTATACCATATCAACAGCAGTCTCCAGAGCATGAAGGAGCTCTTGGCCTTGCAAGAGTCCTGAATTTTCTTGAATGGGTGCATTCACGTCACAGTCATAGGGAGTAAGAGTTAGGAGAGGTGGAATTGCATCTTCTGAGGCTTCTGGCTGGAGCAAAGAAGCCAGTGGGATCACACCTGACTTTGTTACCTTTCCAGGTGTCTTTGGAGCATTCTGTAAAAAAATAAATTCAAAAACAGATGTTAGAAACAAAGAAACAAGGCATAATAACCTTATAGTCTGAAGCCTCGTGGGAAGTTCTACATTCACCTTTAACCCTTTTTAAGGTACTGGTACAATAGTGCAAGATCTCCTTCACCTTCTGCATAGTTTTGCCTACTAAAGGGTTAATGGAATAATTTGCCCCATTTTCACCTTATCTGACCTGTCACAGATGGGAGTGACCTCATAATGAACAATAATAGAGAAAATTAGATGAAATGAAATGATCAATTGTAGTCAATGATACAACCCTTTACCCATCCAGCTTCTCTATCAGTCATTTAAGCAAATCTTTCAAACTGGTATTTTCACAGCACAATGGTTACTGGTAAACTGAGGCTTCAATCCATTAGGTGGCTAAGCACAACTTCTACTTTTGCACAGAAGTTAGAGTGGCAACTTGTACCTGATCTTTTGCCCGTATCCCACAACTGTATCCTGCACTAACATCCTGTCCAGATACAAGAAGATTACGCAGGACACTTTCACTCAATGGGGACTCTTGCTTGGTCAACTTCGGTTTCTTTGTTGTCGGTTGACAGGTTCCTTCCACCTTTCCACCCAAGTCAGTTGTAGAAGAATCAGGTGAAAGGGCAGGAACCCGATCAGCAGGACAGGGTGAACCAGGAGGAGAAGTTTGTGTTCCAGTTGTCATATAGGTCTTCAATGTTGGCACCACGAGGGTGGGTACAGGCTTGCGCTGACCACTGGCTGTTCGTTTCAATGCAGCCAAGAGGGCTGAACCTTCTGGCATGGCCTTCAACACGTCAAATCTTGTTGGCATGACACGTCCAGTGCTGCGCACCAAGATGAGCTTCTGTGGTGGTGATACCACAGCCACTGGTTCTAGGGGTAAAAGCAAAGTCAATGAACTCCTAAACATGCATTAAAAAATAGGCAACCTAGCATTCTGAATGTAAACATATTTTGGACAAATGCTCCCATTACAGAATGGGCTTTACAAACCTTATGGTAATAATATTGCATTCATGGAACATTATACATTTCAATGTTTATTTCAATCCAAAATAGGTTCCTGGTCCACATATGGGGTATATGATCACATAACTGTGTAAAAGAGGATCCTGGAACATGCTGAGACCTGAAATCTAATATCAGCTGATGCCAATACCCCTTGAGTTGATTACTTTTTGCATAAAACTCAGCAAAACAACACCACTTTACATGGAAAAATTCCATCCTTGCTGACCTGTAGAGCATTTTAAATAGCCCACCAGTTATAGGATAAAATTAACCCCAGTCACAAATTAGTGCAGGGGCTGTGTGAAGGATTTAAGGTTACAATGTTGCAAGAAAACCTGTGCTGATCAAGTCACCTTGTTTCTGCTTTGTGGTAGAAGGCTGAGGTTTCCTGAATAATTGCTTCCCACTGATTCCTCCTGGTGCACTGGCACCTGCAGATGTAGAATTCAGCAATGCTGCCAAACTTGATATTTCTCCTGCCCTCTGCATGGGTCTTCTAAACATCTTCTGGTTCTCTCGTCTCACACCAGGCCTGTGGATAACTTTTAAATGTTTTCTTACTTGCTAAGACTGATGAAAATTTGCAATAATAAATCCACTAGAACTTGCATTTTTGAGAGCAGAGAAGGACACCACATCATATCTCCTGAGGTAATAAGGGGAGAGTCACAATCACCATCCTCCAGTCCCAGAGTATCAGTATCACCATTTCCACCTCCATTGCAGTCATGGGATTCAGATTTTGGTGAAGGAGACAAAGAGTCAGAAAAAGCATCCAGTCCAAGCTTTTCAAATGGATCAGGTCCACTTCCAAACGAAGTTGAGGATGTTCCAGAATCAGAGCATGAAATGCCTCCTGGGCTCTTGCATCCATCCTATAATAGAAGGGAAAAAAAGAACATGAGATGGAAGTTGCACAAGAAGCAGCCAAGAGTGGAAGAAAATTCTGAGACCGCTCCACTAATTTTAATCTCTACTAGATTAATGTCAATTACATCAAAGAGTCTAAAAATTTCATAAGAATAATAAGGAAATCAGCTCACATTTTCTGGCGATGATGGAGAGGCAGTGATGGATGAGGGAGATGAAGAAGAGTCTCTTGTCTTCTTACTGAAGGTCCTCCACTCATCATCTTGAAGACAGTCCCCTTTGAAGATGTCGCCACCTAGGACATCATCCTCTTCATCTAGGACAAATGCAGGTGTCTCCAAAGGGAGGCAAAGGGTCCCCTTCTCAGGCGTGAAGTGGCCTAATTCCTCTGTATCTTCCTTGAACACTGAAAGATCAGATTAAATTAGTCCTTCACCCCATATTCACCATTACCTTTCACAGGTGAACACAAAAGAAAAAGGAATACCATGAGAATAAACTAATTTTTGGATAACGTTTTTTGAGGAGTGGCATTAGATTGGGTGCCATTGCCCTTCATGCCTTCAATACAAGCTTCGCTTCCGCTCAAAATGAGAGGAAGGGGCAGCAGATGTTAGCAGAAGAAAAAATGACAAGCATTACTTAACCCCTTGGACGGAGGCGGGTGAAATGTTGGGCACTTTTTATATCGTCCTTTATACAAATATTATTATCTCTGTCACGACGTCAAAAATATTGGAGGCACTGGCATGCGGTACTCAATGATGTAATCGACTTAGTAACACCGAATATGGCCATCTGGGAGCAAACTGAAATTTTAAGTTTCATATCGTTTCTCGATTAAAAACAAAAGCGTCATGGAACAAGGGGTTAAAAACTGGGATTAACATTCAACAAGCTTCTTTTTGGCATCACTTTTCAACTCCAAACATGGTTTAATAGAATATTTATCTTGGAAATGAATCAGGACTACATGCGTCCCTTCCATGACAACGCACTTTTCCTTCTAGAACTGACACCACATCACTCACTCCAACACTCTGCGGCAATAAATTACTATTAGAGAAAACAGAGAACGTGCATGACTGCATGATTGACATATGACTGCATCTCAGCATGACTGAGAGGTTTAAAATCCCCCATAGCTGAAATTCTCGCAGCTGAGCATTGCCAAGCTAGGAAAGGGAAGAACTCACTGGTGTTATCCTTGAAAACAAGGAAGCCCTTGTTCATAATATCAGGCGACCAACGGGGGATGACCACTGCTGCCGTCACCCAAGAGATACCGTAGTGAGGCACCTCCGCTTTCCTTTTCTTCTTTTCCTCTCCTACTGGGTCCTTGATACCCTCTTCCTGGAGTGGGTCCGACTCCTCGGTCGCTTCTGGTGATGCTGGGGCTCCGTCAGACTCAGACACTTCTCCCAAGTCTGGTTTTATAGCCTTGAGTGTGCAGTCTTCTAACTGCTGATTTGACAGGATTGCCAGTTCATCTTGAATCCCACTGCAATAAAAAAAAATCTTACTAAGACTTAGGTGATCCATGAATGATAGTCATGCGGGCAGTCAAAGAGTAGGATTTTTATTAGAATGTTAGATAATATTGTTACGGAGAGGGAGGATGGACGGAACTTGGAAGGCATGAGAGACCGAAAGAAAGCCAAGGGAATTGAACCTGGGCCTCCTGATTGCCGGTCAGGTGTGGTACCACTACACCACCGAACCGAGAACATTCAGTCGAGCCTCTCGACGCCATTCTCATCCGTCACAATATCTTGTATGCCATGATGACTGATACAATAACAAAACAATACGCCTAATGTGTGTCTTGTATTGGATGCACCATCGATCATCCGCTGGACAGATTGGCGTAGTCGTCGTTTCGAAACGATGCTGTCCTACCAGACTCGACGACTAATAGGCAGCCTACCGTGCATGAAGTATGGTATGGCGTGACATTCACTATTCGTGTTAAAGAACGAAACAAAGAAGAGCTAGTTGGTCTCCTCCTCAAGGTTAATGTGAGGTCTAGTCGTCTTGTCATGCCAAGAGAGACAGAAAGGATCAATACAATCAGGAAGAGATGCCAACTGCAAGGGGTTAAACGTTCCCGTGCAGAATCCCTTTTCACAGTCAGCTGACAATCCGCCTCTATTTATAAACATGCAGCAAAGGTCATACGTCCTCTCAAACTTCCATAACTTGGCAAGCCCCTGAGAATTCCCCCATTCAAACTCCCAAAGCAATTCATTAACTTAATCACAGTAAGTAAAATTCATGTAATACAGTTCAAGGATGGGGATGAAAAGTCTGATTATTTATTAATAAGAATAATTGTATATAACCCAACGCTAGAAAGTTGATACTCGGTAGAAATTGGCTATAATCGAACACTGTTAAAAATGCATAAGCCTATTAGAACGTAACAGGATGGAGGCAGAAGGAAGACGTTTCACTGTAAAGGAAAAGATCGATGACCTGGCCAAAGACCAAAAAAGCAATGAAAGGCGAACAGCTCGATCAGAGCAGACATCCTTCACTCTCACCTCGTTCTTTCCTTAACGAAGTGAGAGGGATACAAGAATACCAAGAATCTATGCTATCATGTGCTCACACCATGCAAGGAAGAGTAACCACCTTGTTGGAGTAAAACACATAAGGGATCCTGAACATATCAGGGAATCATTTTCCCTACGTTAATCTTGGTGATGGGGGGCGTGGGCGTCCCAGAGACTTATGATTCCATGGCAACAATCTCAAACATACCTTTGCTCGATATGTTCTTCGTTCACATCTATCAGATACTCCCAAGGTGTGATGAAACAGCTTCTTGAAGAACTTTCAAACTCATACACAGCATGGAAGGCAAGAGTGAATGGGGGATGGATAAGGGGCATGGAAGCATTCTTCAAGACCCCGCCGAAAATATTAGAGGAACTGAATCAAGAATAAAGGTGAACAGCAAGCAACTTACGAACCTCTTTGCATCAATCAACTTTACAATTCTACCCATATCTAGATTAGTAAAGCAGCGACGGTTTCTGAATGGGGTGATTTTAATTGTCGTTCATCTCAAGTAGAAACATGATTGGACACGGCGCTAGCAGGTCTGACAGAAGATACAAGAGCCTACGCCCGACAGGACCTAAGCCTGGATGGCTATATTAAAAATAAAATTTAAAAAGCCTTTGGCTTTGAGCTTCAGCTCCCTACGTGAAACATCGAATCAAGCAAAGAACTCACGTGTGGGACAAAAGAGACCTTCAGAACTTTGACACCTCATTTCGCCTTTTTCCTTCAATTATTTTTCATCTTGAGTCCTGCATCTCCCCCCACCCTCCTTTTCCCACACGGTACCCCTTCGTTCGTGCGTGCTGCCAATAGGGCTGTGCGGTACTGCGGTATTAAGGTAATACCAATCCCTCTCTACCAAGGAAAGGGAGTGAGTGGGCGAGTCAGAAAGAAAGGGCACCCACCCACTCCCTTATGCGTCCCTTCCCCCCCTCCCCCACCCCCACCCTTAGCCGGGCCAGGGCCGAGGAGAGGTAGTGGCTGAAATACATCCTGACTCGAGAGAATAATAATCGATGTCTCAGTTTTTTCCCCGGTACCTTTGATACAGTTGCGCGCTATGACTAAACTTCGGTTCCTGAAACGAGGCTCTAAAATACCGCGGTACTGAAATACTGCACAATCCTAACTGTAACGGACATCTGCAGCAAAAATGAGACATAACTACAGCATACAGGAATCAGGATGAACTCGTACAGCTGAGGAAGGGATCGTATATGAGGAGGTCTAGAGCTGGAGAGAAGGAAATGAAAGGCTGTCTTGGGGCACTATCGATTGTTCTCCCATAGGATCCTTCCTTTCTCACTTTCCACTGTCTCGTTTCTGCCCCTTCTCAGAAAGCACCAGGGAGAAAGAATTAACTTCTCCATTGTCCATCCCCATCGCACTCCCTTTTCAATAATCTTTTTATCAGCTTCTTGATCCGCATCATATATGCTGCTGAAAGCAGAAAAGGCAAGTTTCCCTGCGACAGGGACAAATGCCAACCAGGATCGATGAGTGACATTTTCCATTTTCCATGGGAGGAGGGGGGAGGGGATGGAAGAGAGGAGGGGAAAACGGTGAGTTCAAGTACCTCTCACCAGCAGAAATAGAGAACGAGGGAAAAAAAAAGGGGAAGAAGAAAATGCGTGCAACCCAGGAATCAGCAGTAGGGTTCTGGATCTCAGCCAGTATTAACTGGCTGGGCCTGAACCCTCTGCATTCACTCTTTGTCATAACCTCTTACATCCCGTTCCTCCCTCTCAAAGCAAAAAAAAAATAATCTGTTTCCAAGCGAGAATGGACTAAAATCCTTCAGAGAAAGGCCGTGGAAATGAGGATGAAATATGAGGAACGAGCGTCTGAAATAGACGGCGTCGATAAATCACTTTACTTCATCGGCGCTGTCGGGGACGAGAAATCCATCAGATGAAGCCTCACACTATCATAGAAGCAATCTCCGCACCGTGCATCTGTGGCAGGAGACCCGACGTCGTTTATTACAGGGACGAGCACAGCAATCGCATTATGAAGGATGACAGTGCTGTCGTCTAGTGAGGAAGAAATAGAATGAGGGGAAAATCAGCGTGGGTCATGAATATTGAGATCCATTCTAGAGTTCCGTTTCGGAGACGGAGCGAATGAAATCCATTTGTGAAGACGCGAGGAGAATCCCAGCAGAGGAAGCGGAAAAAAAAAGAATAAAAGGAAGGGGGTACAATAATCAGCTGTGACGTGCGGAACCGCTGAAGGACACGAGTCACAACCATAACAAGCGCCCCTTGGGAAAACAAGCATTCTGCTTCCGCTTCAAGAACAATGTTCATCTCCTGAGCCATTCCATCATCCTGTACTTTATCTTCTATTTCTCATCGCCAAGACACAAACAATCCCGTTTTCATATCCTTCTATTAGCTCAGACTGAATTTAATCACTTAAAAAGTAAGAGGAAGAAGCAAAACAAAGCCCCGATTACGTGCAGTTCTTAATTATAAGGCCCAAGATAAGCGAGAATCCAAGGACTGAAGGCAGCATACAACTTTCCAAAAAAAACTTTCCGCCCTCATAACTCAAAATCACGCCAACGCATGAGGCCCATCAACGCCGGATATCTGCGAGTACGTGATTCCGTATATTTATGAGTCCCTAGTACTTATTCAGTACAGTACGAAAACATAATATGCAGAATGGTATATAGGGAAAATAATTTTAAGATATATTTTGGATATCGTTGGATTTATCATACTTCGCGAGTGCGTCTTTTGGGGTTCTCGCATACTGAACACCAGTCCTGACGTTACCGTAACATGGGGTGACATGATATGATGTAACGTTAAAGTTCAAAATCGTAACAAAAATGGGCTAGGCTCACTCATTATTATTTAACTTCTGTGCAGTCAAGCCTTCAAGTTCATCGGAGCGCGAAAATTTTCAATCTCATTTACTGGTTCTGTAATTAATTGGTTGCATCAAGTCACCAGACAAAAGCGAGTGAATTGACATCCATTCTTTCCATTTAGGCTTTTCCGAACTTAGTAAATAGACTTAGTATAATATAGATAACTTTCAGCTATGATGTGGAGATCGTTAAAGGATTTTTTTTCACGGCTCAGTCATGTAAGAGGCCTCACAGTGGACTTGAGCCGATTTATGTAATCGGCTTTAATTAGGAGCTTAGACAGACAGTGAAAACGACAACAAAAAAAAACCTCCACAAAGAAAGGGATGAAAACTGTAGTGTTCCCCTATCGAGTTTCCTTGGGAGTCTCTTTCTTGCCTTTCTTCGTATATAACTGGTGATGAGAACCGCCTTTTCCCTGGTATACGCGAGGCATTGTGACAGCACAATAGCACGAACATAGGCAATACTGGTACCTTCTGTCGCATGGACTGAAAGAACTAAAGGCCGTCGTACATTAGGCACTTTTTGTTGCGCCACCGTCGCGGGACCGTCGCCGAACTTCTGAGATGAGACCCCGCACAAGTGGCAGTCTGAAAGCAGCGGGATGGGCGATGCCCACCCAGTGCGAGCTATTAAGAGGGAATAAAAAGTTCGTCGACTGCTGTCAACACGGCGACGCCCGAAAGAACTCAAGCCTTGGTTTTAATTCTACGAGGGTCACTCAATAAGTTATCTACCTGAATAGGAAAGAAACACCCGAGGGGAAAAATAACACTTTATTTTTCAATGTAGTCACCTTTCAACTCAACACACTTATTCCACTTTGATTCGAAGGATTTTATTCCCTGGGAATAGAAGTCAACTTCTTGCCCATCAAACCAATCAGAAACGGCAACTTTCAGCTCTTCATTGCATGAAAATCGTTTTCCCCGCAAACATTTTTTCAAGTGTCTGAACAGAAAATAGTCACTAGGAGCCAGATCCGGGCTGTAGGGAGGATGGTTGAGCTCCTGAAACCCACACTCCCTCACTGCTGCCTGAACTTTCCATGATTTGTGGACGGGCGCGTTGTCATGGAGAAGAAGGACCCCCCTTGACAATTTTCCTATGCGTTTTTCCTCGATGGCATCATGTAAATTTTTCATAGTGGTAGCATAGGAATCGCCAGTGATTGTACACTTGTCTGGCATGAACTCAAGCAGCAGTAGTCCCTCGCTGTCCCAAAACACAGTGGCCATAATCTTTCCTGCAGATTTCTGAACACGAAATTTGCGAGGCGTTGGCGATCCCTTGTGCTTCCACTGCATGGACTCCTGCTTGGTTTCGGGATCCCAGTGATGAACCCAAGTTTCATCACCAGTTACTATTCTGGGAAAAAAAGTTTCCCCGATTTGTTTAGAAAACTCCAAGTTTTCCTTGCAGATGTCAGATCTATTCTTCTTCTGAGCTGGAGTCAGCATTCTTGGGACCCATCGAGAACTGACTTTGGACATGTGTAATTTTTCATGAATAATGTGAATCACTGTGCCCTCTGAAATCCCCAGTTCATGAGCTAAAACAGAGACTTTGGTGCGACGATCCTCCAGTATCGCACTCTCCAATTTGTCACACATTTCCTGATCAGAAGCCTCCACAGGGCGCCCCGACCTTGGGTCATCTTCGATCGACTCTCTTCCCCACTTAAACTGCTTGCTCCAAAATTTAACTTGGTAATAAGAAGGCGAAGACACACCATAAATGTTAGACATACGTTCATGAATCTCCTTAGGTGCTTTCCCTTCTTTGGTGAGGAATTTGATCACTGAACGATGTTCGACTTTCGTCAAATCCATGACACAGACTCAGGAAAAGAAATCTAATGCGCTACCACTTTGAACGGACTTGAGCGACTGAGCTGGTATAGTGGTAGGGCACTCACGAGACCTGTCGAGACATGTCACAGCAGGCACAGGTCTGTTGCTCATCCCTTTCATATTCAGGTAGATAACTTATTGAGTGGCCCTCGTAATTCTAAGACGAAAGAAACGGGGGAAACTGGCGGAGCTTCCTGGGTGGGACTCACGAAACTTCATGAAGAATGGGAAGACATTTGAAAGCATCTGTGCACTTTCGAGCATGTGCCACCAGTAATTCGCAGTAGGCAAAATCGGAGGCATTACTTTTGGAGTGGTCCTCATATATACACGAAAGAAACTATGGTGGAGGAACCACGGACACAAAAAAAAGAGTAAGAACAAAGCGAGATAATATCAATAACAGCAACAACATAAGAATTTGAGGCGTAAGAATCGCCTGCGAAGACAAAGCATCTGCGGGTAGATTCATTCGATACTCTAACCCTTCCGTATCGTGGGATTTAAATCCATTTACATAGCCTGATTCCGGAGGAGATTATGATTTAAATGTCTAGAACGCATCTTTTCACTTAAATGGCCATAAATTCTGCAATTATTGGATTTTAATTTGGGATTTGAGTTTGGAGTTCCACTTTTTGCAAGTTACCACTGCACTGGTCGTACATTGTACGTCGGACGGTCGCATATGACGCGGCAGCCGGTCGTACAGTGTACGTCGCACGGATATGAAGGGTTAAACTGTGGGAAAGGTGTCTATGCCTTGAGGCATTCAAGGCCAAACTGTGGTATCCCTGAAAAGTGATCGTATTACTCAGACCACACTTTTTCCTCGTGCTTTGTTCAACAGGTAATTGTGATCCCAAGTTACATGTGAAAATGCGAAGGACACCCAAAGCTTTCAGTGGAATCATCTTCATCACATGGCGGTAATCTTGACCCATACCCAGATGACTAAAACAAAAGTCAGACCTAATGAGAATGAGTAATGAGAACCACATTTCTGGCAAGTTTAAGTGATTTAAAGATCTAATACCTTCGTCAATGCTGGCCCTAACGCGGAAAACTCAAAATATAAGTTCCCCTAATGTCTCTCATGAAACCACACCAATCACACGTTTTCCGGTCACAATAAGTTACTGCCTTAATGTTCTAGCATAGTCACAACAAGGGGATTTTTCAGAACTGTACGGTAGTCATAGTGCTGTTGCACTAATTCTTATCGAACTTCCTATTTTTTTTTATCAGCACTTCGGGTGCTATGGCTGATTTGTTGAGCACAGGGAAAAAAAGAGATACATGAAAGTATAAGATTAGAGGGTAACAGTTTCATCAGTTTCCTTCTTTATTTTAAAGTTCAAGAATTTGTGACTGTCTCATTCACATTCAGACCATCTCAAAATGATGCGTGCAATACCGAAGTCAGCTTTGAATGCCTCTTGTACAGATACCTTTTCAACAGTTGAGGTATTTAACGAATCCCTAGGGAAATTATTTTCTCATCAGGCGACTCATTACATTACGCCCAGTAAGTCTTGTTCTGCTTTTACTTTCGACCCAATACGATTCTAATTCTCTTCTGTACGAGAGGGTCCAGCTTCCTAGTATGTAATGTCCTTGTAGTAAGTTAATAAGAATGAAGTGTGTGAGCATTCATTCATTAATATTAAACTACTTCACGAATATAATGCAGAATAAAATTGGTACGTAAGAACTTACTACGCCTGTAAAGGCACAAAACATGGACCTTTACGCCAATGGCGTAAAGGTCCATAGGCTGGGAATCTTAAGGAAAAATGACGCGTCTCATGCTGTAGCAAGAAAATGTAATTCGAGAAGGCAACGAATCAAAGAAGGAATAAGTACTAACGTGCTATGACCGTGTAAACAGGTGACACGATTGACAGGGCTGCGCGTATCAACTCAAGAGAATTATTTTTTTTTTATAAGGAAAAAAAAGAGACAAGAAGATTACGGTAGGCTTACATTGCAATAAAAGAAAGAAAGTTAGCATGCCAGCCTCGAGGCAGAGACATGAATCCCTCCAGGGCGGCAATCAGGCGCGCAGCTCGGCTTCTCAAGGTCATCTTTCTTTACTACTTATGCTTCATCGTCTTTTTCGTGGATCTCTGTCGTCGCTCTTCCCACCACCATCCCTTCTAGGGATCTCTCTCGTCCTTTCCGAATGGGTATCTAGTGACCTATGTAGAGTATATGTAGACCTATGTATTAGTAGCTTCGAATACCAGACCTGCTGAGAAGGACCATGAGAAGGAACTAATTCATTGATATGATCGAAGGGAAAGACGGAAGAAGGAAAACTAAAATTAGGAAAGGAGGAAATTATTCAAGGAGTTCTCTGTCAACTAAAAACGAGTTCCTTTGGTCACAAGGAGAGCCTACATGAGGATTTATTCATGACTGCCTGGGTACGGGAACACGCTCCCTCTTCCTATCGACCCGTTAGTCCAGCGAACCGGAAAATGCCTATGTCGAAGGAAGACAGGAGCAATATCAGGAAGGATACACGCTTCGGAGATTCACCCCTTTCCATCGATCGATGAGAAAAAAGATTATGATTAAAGATATCGATTCTCCTCGCCCTCCTTTCATGTGTCTTGGCGAGGGAGTCAAGGAAAAAATGCACTTTCATCAATCTCTCATCATGCCCTCCATCCTCACACGAGCTGGAGGGGAGGGAGGGGGGGGGGCCACTGGGAAAAGCGGAGATCGAAGAATGTGTTTGTCAAGATGTCCGTCATGACATCATGAATGGAGTTAACTCCAGAAATCATCTCACGTTGGATGATCCAATACCATTTCCTCTTGAGAGAAGTCTAGCGCCTTGGTCGCAGCTTCACTGACGTTGAAAAAAAAAAAAAGTTTCTCCCTATCTTTCCTTCCAGACGGCCTTCGGCGATGCGAAGCACAAACATCACGAGCTGCTGGTACTGCTACGTGCCTTTTGTTTCAAAACAGAGCAGCCAGGATGTGAAACACGAGACATTATTGAAGGACGAATACAGAGAGTATGAACAAAGCCTCGTCGTTTCGATTGAGGTGTTTTCCTGGGACAGACACGAGATAAGCAATTCCCCGGATTAATCAATATATTCTCTATGTACGCGTCCTGGGGTAAGCATGCGGGTTTCCTTTTCCCCCTCTTTGGGGTGGTGTCTGCGAGAACGTGTCCTCAAGAGAGGAAACGATGCTGATGTTCAATTGATGCTGCAGTTCTCTCAACCGCATAGGTAACCGCATGGCGGTTCCTTCCACAATTCTCTTCTATATACCGTCTTAAGAGTCATTCAAATTCACACAGCAAGAATTAACAAAACACTTCATAGACAAAAAAGGTCAACAGCATTCATATCCAGAAGCCATGTTGGAACAATCACAGTCAGAGTATCCCAGTCGGAACAGCCAGTTTCAATAGCAGAAAAAACCTGTCCACCCTGGGATTAGTTGCCCCCAGCCAGTTGCGCCAAACTCTCGTGGGTTTCAAGAGATCTCTATCATTCAGTGATCAGAACTTCTGAAAAACACTCTCCCGGCAACAGGTTCAAGTGAGAAGCAGCTATTGTGCGACGGGAGGTGAAAGAATATCTGTCTGAAAATTACCCCTTCACCCTCAGAGTCACGAGTGTCATTCCACAGGAGATGCAAAGAAGGAGCAGGTGCCAAGAAATTCCTCTCTGCTCCCTCCCTCTCCCCCTCTCTCTCATTCTCTCTCTCGCCCATGTGACTTCTTCACAAGACCAAAATGAACTGGGAGAACAGAAAGACTCACGTGACGAGATGATGAAAGCAGATCACTTCACCAGGTTGACCTGGAACAAAGCTGGCCTCTGTCACAACATATGCGAAGCCACCTCCTCGAGCAAGGAATCGATATTGCCCTGTCCTCACCTGGCCTTTCTGAAACACTGCAACAAAAAAAAAGGGAGACATGAGTTTACTCAAATCGAAGAGGGGGGAAAAGGGGGGTGGGAGAGGGGAGTGGAAGGTGAAGCATTTAGCACTGGAGCTTCTGTCTGGGCCGTCGGCCAAGTTTCGCTCTGCTCAACACAAGTTGGATAAGATGTCAGGATGTAAAAGCCATTTATTATCATGCAGTCCCATGACCTCTGCCATATCGTGAAAAATCTCAAATGGCAGAGATGAAGTAGCCAGAAAACCAGAAGAACTGCGAACGGGAAGATTCTCCCTCAAAAATTGGACCGGTGAGACGGTGTCGTTGTTTACTTAGGAAATGGAATGTAATGAGATCCAGAGAGTGACACATTTCCCGCATATTTTTCTTCTCTCTCGACGAGATCTTCGAATCACTCATTTCGCCACGAAACCTGATTCAGGGGAAAGTTCCAGCACTGAAAGTTTCAGAGAGAGAGAGGACTGATGACCTCGGGTCTTTTTCTATCAATCCCACCCGTAGTTTCTTTATCGCGGAGATTCGGAGGATATGAAATATTCAGGACCAGCAAAACAGGTTAACATGCGACGGCGGCGGCGGCGGCGGGGAGGCCGGGGGAATGGTTGTAACAAACACAATCAACAGGAAAGAGGCAAGATGTCTCCTAACGTAAGGGATTCCTCTCACTAGACTCCAATATGTTACCTTTTTTTTTGAGTCCTTTCTTTTTCCCGAGGACGAATGGCAGAGATACCACCTCTGGCCCCCATTAGAGGAGGAAGTCGAGCATGAGCGGGGAGGGGGGGGGGGAGAGCTCACGGCCGCAACGAGATGCTCAGACCTTCCTTGAAGTATCCTCAAACTAACTCCTCGACGTTCTCTGACGTCAGCAAGGAGAAGTCTCACGTGATAGCATGAAGGGAAAAGACATCCCGACTTGAGAGCCTGGCCAAGCATCGATCTCCTTCTTCACTTCTTCGGAGCAAATACGAGCTATTCGCATCAAGACGTATTGCAGCCGACAGCAGGCATCAGAGACTCCATTACGGGCCAGGGACAGCCTTCCCTTCGATTTGCAATGCAAATATGGAGACAATTGAATGAACTTCGTAATCGGGCAGGTCCATATTTTGGACAAAAGCCCTGCGAAGAATGGTGATGGGACAGGAGTGTCGAGCCAAAGGTATTGATCCAACAGAAGAAAGCATCAAGGCCTTCCACGGATATGCCTCGATAAGAGGGGGGAATATATCGGATAGCATGTATAACCAACAACGGTCCTCTCTCTCCCTATGATGCTTTCAAAGGGAACCTATGACCATTTGAGGCAAGGAAGCGGCGTGATGCGTGTCGCACTCACTCACAGCAGCTACAATTTAAATGGCACGCAACAGAAACAGTATTCCAGTATTTTCATGACAGCAGAGAACGAAGGAAGAGAAACGATTATTACTTAAGACAACTATGTAATGCATACGAATAAGAGGAGCTTTTTTCCCCCTCAAGGCCGGACAGAGTGCTTTGAACGTCCTAGAGACAGGAATCGAGCGAGGGTCGCGGTAGAAAAGGGACTGCCAGTCGAGAGGAAAAAGCAGCGTCCCTGGCTTCGAAGATGAATAGAGCAGGCGGACCCGTCAGCCTTGGCATTCGTTGAAGCCTCACTATACTACACGTTATATGGGGGGTGTGCCCTGCCATCTCTCCCCAATATGCGCTATAGGGTCACAGAGGATGCACTTCCAAGGTAGTTTCTGAAAGCCTTCAAGGCCAAATCGTGACGGTGTTTTGATTCTTCGCGATATTAATGCTTCAACTCGTAAATTCACCTCCCTCCTCAGCTGGGAGAAAATTCTTCACCTCTTCTTGAGTGATATTCATCTTACGTTTGAATGACGTCATGAAAGAGCTCGCAACGAGGCTAATCGGGTGGTGGGAATCACAAAATTCGAGGAAAACGTGAATATCCCACTCTCGCCGATCGTGACTGCGACTTGGGATCATTTTAGATCACCGTCATGTCTCCGTCTCACTCCACCCCGGGAAAGGTTAAGGGTGAATTTTTGAACAGAGCACTATCCGATAATGCAGCTTTATTCCAACTAAAATGCATGCTATTTTCCTTGGAATAAAGCTGCATTATCGGATAGTTCTCTGTTGAAAAATCCACCCTAAGTGTTTTGAGAGTGAGACCAGCAATAACAGGCAGTAGTGACGCATTCCACATTAGCCATCATAGCCCAAATAAAAAATTAATTTAAAACATTTAAAAAAGCAAACATATATAGTTTTTTTCGATTTTCACTTCTTTGCAGAGACACTCAGTGAAAAAAAGTCTGAAAGGTCCGCCTCATGTTCCGCTTATCCTTTCTTCGTTCCTTGAGTTCCTTATGCTCCCTTGAGAAACTCTTCGTACGGTAGACAGGAATATTTATTGGATAAAATTCATTGTTTTTAAAGCATGGAAAGGGCGAGGTCAGATTGCCAGAGATAGGCCGCCTTCCAGCGTTCTATGGTAAATCCAACTCGAATCCCTCATAGCAGTACATGTTACTGCCAAATGGGTTCAAACCGTTGGTCTGTTTGAGGTTATTTATGCGTTACGTCCAGGCAATGCAAGGAAGAAGGTGACACACTGTTGGGAACATTTCAACAGAATCCCCAGCAGCCGGATAAGAGATAAAATATGGACGGCTTCTCACAATGATTAATGGTCACAGGAGAGAGCTCGGAACGAAATCGATGGAATGCGGTTTGCTCCTCACTGCGAAGCCCCGGAACGCACAAGTTTCCTCGATATTCGCTTCAGAGGAACACTGAAAACAGGCACAGACTAATGAAGAGAAGGAAAGGCAAGGGAGGCGAAAGCTGGAAGACCCAGCGCCACAGCCACCACCCAAGTCTCCTCGGTCCCCCTTCCCCCAGCACCATCCTCCATCCTCCACATCAAACAGACAGACAGACACACACACGCATCCGACTTCGCGGGCCATGCGCCGTCTGGATCGAAGCCCTACACATTCCTCGGTTCTCTCTCTCCCGCAAATACCAACCTCTACAGCATGGGTCCTATGCTTTTAGAATTTTATTGTTGCTACCGGGGGGAAATGCGAAGGGAAAGGCCATATGCTTATTTTTTTCTTTTAACAATGAGCCTATGAGTATTCCCGTCTCACCTCATTCCAATTCTCCCCTCCATACTTGGGGGAAGAAACTTCTCACAGCGCCTATACTGCGTACCTTCTCTAAAAGGCAGAAGCACACAGAGCCCGTCTATGTTCGCGTATATAGGAAACAATGACTTAAGGGAGGCAATTCATGATTCCCGGGGGTAGATCTCGTGTCGGGTGTGTTTGCAAGGCAAACATGAGAGGAGACGACTATTACGCTCTCTGCTGTCTCCTACCTTCTCATGTCCGCAGCCTTCTAGACTCTTTTTACCGGAATTTCTCTGGCCCCAGAAGCCAATACGAGTATCCAAGGAGAAACAAAGTGGATCGATGAATCAATGGAAACCCTTCCACTGGCTGGTTCTCCAATTCTCCCCTCCTAGCGATATTCCACACCTCACGCTGAGACGAGAGAAACTTCGAGAATATCATTTGATCCCACAATGACGGGGGTGCGAGGTTCGAACATCGAAGGCAAAATAAAAACGAGTTTCCTCAACGTAAGAATCCCTACCCTCCATCTCCATTTCTTTTTCTTTCTCCCGTTTATTCCAGCTCTCCTATTGAAGCTCCGCATTTCTTTCATCCTCTTCTTCCTGGCATGAGTCTCTAATGCCCGGGCATCGATCTCTTTCTCCAGGGTTGCCCTTTTGGGACCAGCAAATCCAGAACTCTGTTCGCATCCGGTAGTATCCCTAACAAAGGCAAAGGCACTCTCTTGCATATGGAACCACCGATACGATACCCGATCAAGTATGCAGGCACAGCAGGCTCTAAGGCCACTTGCCGCAGCCCCAATCCATTCTGACCCCAACCCCGTAGCCACATTTAATCCCAAGTAACCTCTACCCTCCTATGGCCTCGGGATAACCCCAAAAGCCCCCTCAGACGATCCTATTTATCCTAGATCGACGAGAGGGTCACTCGACCAAAAAATTTTATTTTCCTATCACCGAATGGTCCCGCGAGCGACAGTTTTTAGTCACAGACGCGATGTCAGAAAACAGGTTCGTACCGGTCCTATAAAGATAAGGCAGACCTCAGAAATCAGGTCTCAATTTTGGCTGCTTCAGTAGTAAGCTACCAGAGTATCACGGCTAAGCCTTCACCACCGTGGTTCTTTTAAGGCCCACATCTAAAGAAAAGTCTGCTATAATGCTACCACCATATCCCGAGGGCCTCCCTTCCCAAACGCGCCGGAAATAAACACCTGATTCGGTTGGGTGCTATCCCAGGTCCCATGACAAAGGAATCAAGAGAAGGAGAGATCCAAATCTGAGGCAAGTCTTATCGATCCTAGTAGAAAATTCAGGGCTTCTCATATTCAGCAATCAAGGGGATTCCCGGGGGTGGCTTGTCATGAAAAGGGCGTGGCAACACGTGACGTGTCTCTTCGATCCAGCAGCCATGAAGACTTCCGGGGGTGGAATGCAATTTTAAAATCTCCATCAGCCCCAAAGCTCGTCCACGAACGTTTCCTAAATAATTACAATGGACAAAACGTCTCCAGGGTTCTTCCATGCTACCCTGGAGGGAGAAATATGAGACAAGTCGCAGGAGAATCTGATCCAGTTACCTCTTCCATCCGGTGATGAGACGTAACGAGTCTTCAGAGCTCCATAACGGGGAGCGAAGGGGCTCATTTCTCGAGATAGAGTAAATTGTATGTGTGACTCATGGCACGGTAATGATGGCAGATATTTTTGAAAGACATTTCGACATCAAACGTATCTCTCTGCTTTTAGGAGGGATTGCCGTAATTCGATAAGGGTGAGAAGATCAAAGACGGGGAAGCTTTGCGTGGCCTCATTCCCATGAAAGCCAATTGAGGAGAGTTAAGAAGGGAAAACGTTAGCGTGAAAAAAATAATAAAAAGAATTTCCTCGTAGGCTTAAAGGGGATGATGTTCTCGATTCCATCTCGATAACAATCCGCGAAAATGCAGTCGCGTGTTTAACAAACAAGAGGGACGGAGATAAAAAAAAAAGACAAAATAGGATGAAGGCCAGAACCATTTCCTTGTCAGAGGGATTGAACCGCCAGAGAGGGGCTCCGCACTCCCTGTTGACGGAAATCGGCGAGAAATCAATGAAAGAGAGGGTGTATAGGACCATCAGAAAACCATGACTAGAGATGCAAAATGGTGAATTTTTGCTTGCTTTTTGAGCTACGTAATAATGTTATATCAACAGCCGATCACATGACGATGATGGATATGAATACGTTTACTAAGTGCTGGATTCGAGTGAAACAGCGACGGTAGAATGAATTTCTTATCACCAGAAGAGGATGAACGGGAGATGGGAAAGAACTCGAGCGAGAAATGATTGACACAACAGAAATGATCTTCCTTCATAAGGCCATGACCTCCAGGAAACAGATGAAGACATTCTCCGGAATTCTTTATCTCAATCCTCAAGTACCTTCCCATTCACCATGATTAGGATGAGCTTAATTTCGCAATGTGCGGCTATATGATAGCACCAGAAATGAAATGAAGCATGCTTAACTCCGTCTAATCTCAGGAATGTCACAGAAAGTCAGTATAATGCAAAAACTTGCACATACTGGCCGAAATGTCATGTACCAATCGATTGGCGTGTCCAATGGATCAGTGCGCACCGTCGTTTTCGTAACACAGAATGACCTTTCGTCGTGTCCAATAGGGTAGCTTTCGTCTAATCACTTGTTTCGGACATTTTCAATTAATTCAATATGAAAACCTGTAAGCAAAATGAAGTAAACACCAGGCTAAGGGAAAATACATTTCGGACACTTTGTATATTTAGATCGGCATCTTTCTGGACAGGAATAGGTCACTAGGTTCCTTTCTGCGGGACGTCAATTCGTGGCTTCAAGGGTGCGATCAAACGTAAATCGAGAAACCTTGCCGTGGCCATTGCTGATCGGGTGGAAGTCATGAGAACATGACAGAGCCGCAATACGGAATGACTGTACTCAAGGAAATCGCAACACAGGCAATGGAATATCGACAATATTTTTGACAAAAATACACTTTGTTGAATGAGTGGATAATGAGAACATAGAAGAAAAAGGAATAACTGCTCCCAATCCCCTTCTTACACGTAATAAGGCTGCCCTTTTTTATTTATCTAGCAATGTAAAGAGACCTTCAATGGGGCAAGAGATATGGTCCGCCGATATCCCCCAAGAACCAAGCTATATTTTCGTGGGTGTGTACATAGTTTCTTCTCTGGTGGAAAGAGAATTGCCGTGGGGAGGACAATCGATCTGGGTGCAAAATTATTCATGATTTGCCATGAGGGCGTAAGAGTAATGATTGATAGGAATAGGACCTTTATTGATCACAACCTTCCGGCACGACATGAAAATGGGAGAGCCATAATGTCAAAGTGAATCGATGTGAATATTGAAATGACAATGAATAGGCTTACATGGGTATAAATGGATTAATCTTATTCATAAGAGCGAAGTGGATTCTTCCATTATCATTCGACGATCGACTGCACGTCTGGAGCTTGCTTACCAAATCCTACAATAACAAAGCGTTGCGACCGGTTGCGACACTGCCAGTGGCAGGATATTAGGAGTGGGAAGGAGGGCTTAGTGTTAGGGCGGATAGCCAGGGGCAATGAGGAGGGGGCGGGCTCCAGCCTCCTGAGTCTCCCCTTCCCCCCGACGGACACTTGACAAAATCAACTACCGCTATCTGAGATTACGTAACTCTTCCGATACGGAGAGACCCGTTAGCCCCTGGCGACTGAGGTAAACGCAACACTGGGTGATGATTCTCTCACAAAAGAGAAAATGATTGACAATGCAGACTTGGGCAAAATAAAATAATTTGACAATTAAATTCACAACCTGAGATTTGATTCACTACTCGTTTCTATTTCGGTTTATCAGTGAAATGCGCCTACTTTCCCACCAAGGTTCATGCCGACCTGACTCGGACATGGATCGGTTGGGTCCATTTTTGATCATGGAAGTGATTAGTCAAAATTAGTCAAAACGAAAGCCCAATTCGAACTACCTTTTTTTCTGGCTTTTTTTTTTGTTTGGGAGATAGAGAGAATCCGACGACCCTGGTTGGTGTCGCGGACCGTCAGTTTTTCAGTTATGACACTTCGTGACACTGGCATTGGAAGAAAATTCGGCACCTAGCTATGAAAGGATCCAGAGGAGAGACAACTTGGGAGACCTGATTATGAGATAAATTTTGTAAACAGTGATTAAAACTGCAATCAACTGATTGATTTAATGGAATAGGAAACTCTAAGAAAATATTGATAGGATGATTAAGGTGAAATATGACAACCATGAATGTACTATGTACTAGATATACGAGGGAAGTAATCCCATTCACACAATTAAAGAAATCAATCCTTCACCAGAGAACTTTTTGACACGACTGTTGACATTTAAAGTGAGTGGTCCACATGAATACATACAATGATGAGCAGTGGCGTGACCAGCGTTTCGCCAAAAGGGGGGGGGGGGGGGGGGGGGGGGGGGATTTCGTTTTGACTAATTTTGACTAATCACTTCCATGATCAAAAATGGACCCAACCGATCCATGTCCGAGTCAGGTCGGCATGAACCTTGGTGGGAGAGGGGGTAGCAAACGCATATAAACCAGAGTTTGGGGGTTAGAACCCAAACTTACGGGACTTCAGCCAACCCCAGCCCCCCCCCCCCCTCCCCTCGCTACGCCACTGATAATGATCCATTCCTCATGTACATTACTGTTCAAGCTATTTAGGGGTGTACTGACGGTAGCCTTTAACATCGGCCTATGGTCAGTCATGGTCTCCCACACGAGTGTCGATGTCAATTGTGGCAAATAAAGAGAGGTAAATCAACAAATTATAATCCGACATTCTACTTCGTGTTTCTAACTTCCTCCCCACCAGCATGAGACTTATGACGGTCTCCGTAACGTTTTATGAGGGGGGGAGGGGGGAAGTTTGCAGGAGCTTCATTGGAAAACAAACTTAAATGTGGCATGAAGCCCAATCCTATCAACTGACAGTCGCAAAGAATGGTTCTATCACGAGCTTATGAATTACATACTTTACTGTCGAAGGGATGCAAGAAGCTCACCCCGCCCAGAAATTGCAAAAAAAAGTTCTAGGCCTACTATTCTGGGAAAAGAGGGGAGCTCCGAGAGAATGCTCAACGTTTCGACGAATTCGATTCGACGCAGATGTCAGCAGCAGAGAATTCTGCATTTGCTTATGTCATGCATAGATTTTAGTCGTCTGGAAGAGTTCAGAACCGATATAAGCCGTTTTCTTGGAACAGGCAGAAGAGGTTCGGTAATATTCTCGATGCCATCATTCGACCCAGGTATCAGCCAAAGAGAGAGAGATTCAATTACATATTCAACTTCAACTTATTTTATTTTGCGTGGAAGAGCCAAGATTATTTTTCTTGGAAAAGGGACGAGCGAGTCCGGCGCCAGGACGCATTCATACGCCATATGATTCTCTCTTTTTGCGGTGGGACGACAGCAATGACGAAGACGATGATCGCCGCAGAATACTGCGCGCCAGACTAGACCAGAAGCTCGCCAGATAAACTGGTGGACACCCAGTCGAACGCCGCGATGAGAACGATAACAGGCACGTTGCGCAGTACACCACTCCCATGGTTTCCGGTCCTATCCAACATACCTCCACAAATTCGCAGAAATATGGCAAGCGTGCGCGAATACCAGAAAATCCTGGCCTTCCTATCAACCGCGACGTCACAAGCCCAACCCCCAAACAGGCTCAAGTCCAGAAAACCGTTCTGGATCCACGCCAAGACTCTCAACGACCACAAAAGAACAATGGAAGGGGGACTGGGCTAACGCCAACATGCCGCTGAAGTCCATCATCAACGATCCCACAACTCTTCAGCCCGGATTCACACCTCCAAGGAGGATATGGTCCTCCTTAAACCGAATCCGGACGCTCCAGGGAAGGTGCAGACACATTTTCCACAAATGGAAAATCAAAGATAGTCCACAATGCGACTGCGGAGCACAAAGTCAGACAGTACAGCACATAGTACTTGAATGCCCAATTAGATCCTTCAAGGGCGATTCAAAAAATATCCACGAAGCTACCACTGAGGCAGTCGAATGGATATCAAAATTTGATATTATTCTGTGATTTGTTGCTATCCGCCAAGGCCATACGAAAGAAGAACGACGAAGACAACGACTTAGCCATGTCATGTGGATCGGCAGGGTGAAAACCTGCCGATGGTTGATGAGAGAAATGATGCCAATTCGATTGCTGATGCATCGGAAGAGTCCCAAATTATGGTTTCCATCATAGGTTATAAACATCCTTTACCAGTTTTCCGACATCTGGTTTTTGGTTTCAACACACCTAAACTGTAACTGTACACCCACCGATACAGCAATGAACAGCAGATACATTCAAACCGACCACCATTAGCGCTCAATCAAAAAGCAAGAGCAGCAGCATTGGCTTCTCCATAAAAGAGAAACATGCATCTAAACACAGTGTGATAAGACCAAAAACAAGCTTTTAGGACACTGATGAATATGTCATGAAACTCACATGTTCTGAAATTCTTCTCTAAAAGCTTGACATCAAAGAGGTGGATGTAGTTGTAGAAGGACTGACCTAGGAGACTTGACTGCTCGTAATGCAGGACATCTATTCTGCAAACAGAATCGTCCCTTCAAAATTAGCATATGCAGTGCAGAGTGAAGCCTTAACATATTCATCACTCCCATATCAGTATGATTGTCTCCACTCAAAACACTTCCAGTATCAGGGATTCTTAACCAATCACATTTTACAAAATGAGTTCTAATTTCTCACAACATAGTCCAAGGAGAAATTTTAAGCCAGATGAGTTTCATCACAAGTACAGGTAAAAATGCTGTCCTCTCTGCAGACCAACAAAGATGGAGGTCTTCTTAATACCATGGACAAGGATATACAGGGTGGGCCAAAAAAAAAAAAGGACTCACTGCATATATTTTAATGCAGTTTGCAGCATTTGGAAGAGGAATGTATAAGCTTTAAATTGGTTTACTTATATTTCAAATTTATTCGACAGTTTTAGAAATTCAGGAGCTCATGTAACAACAAACAAAAACTGTGTTGCTGCACACTCGGATGCAGACAGCATGGGGCCTTCAGCCAACACCTGTCCATCCCCACTGCTACAAAAACAACACACTTTTTGTTTGTAGTTCATAAGAGCTTCATAACTTCTGAAACTGCTGAAAATATTTGAAATGTAAGTACATCATGTTAAAGCTTAGTCATTCCTCTTTCAAATGCCACAAACCACATTAATATGTATGCATTGAGTGCAGTATAGCATATCGTTAAGAACAGTCCTTTTTTTTGGCCCACCCTGTAGAGTTTCCTTGCAGTAATACACTGAAGATTAGGAACTGTTTATGGTTGGATAACTTCTTCCATTGAGCCTGGTTTGATGAGGGTAAATGTCAGACATGATGGTCCACTGGTGAAATCCAATGCATTACATCATTATTCACATTGGCAAGATACAGTTTTATGGTTATTACTCTTTCCAGGAGATCTTAGACATTGTCAACAGACAAGTGGGATATGAGCAAAGCAAGAATGACTTTCAAAATTATCATACACAGCCACAAGAGGCAGACTACAAGGTAACAGGAGCTTCATCTGAATCACCATGTTTACAAACAAAACCTTAAAATAGCCAAGCAATAGCAGATAAAAAAATGAAAATGAACCTCCACGTTGAAGTCCATGGAAAATAAAGAATGTGAACAAAAACTGGAAGAAAAAATAGATATATCGAATTCATTGAATAAAATAAACTCTGGACAACTATTTAGCCAGCATGGCATTGGCATGCTTCTATGATTTTCACAAACAAGTTGACAGAATATCACAAATTCAAGAAACAACTTCTCATTATCTAAAAACCTAACAATCACACTGTTTTTTCAAGTTGTGCCAGCTCAGTATTCCCAAATCACCAAATTTCTTCCACACACGGGAAGATATCTTCCCATGCCTGCTGATGTTTATGACCCCAGATTTTCTTTTAACACATTCAGTGCCAAAATCAGCTTTTAAATTTACATAAGTAGATTAAATCCATCTCATCACATAACTTTAATATGTTGACTGCCACACAACACACTGGTGCATCATGTTTTGTACCACACCATGGGTAAAATAAAAACTTGCAGTGACACACTGGCACGTCATGTGACACCATATAATAATTAGTAAAACTACCTTGGCAGTCAACAAGTTAAGTGAGCTGGAAGTGCCTCGGTCAGGTTGTTCAAAGTCACTGTCAGAGCTGGAGTTGGCACTGGACATTGGGCATTGGGCTAAGAACTGCCCTTGTTGACCTGCCTTCAAGTATACAGGCATATTAGGCTCACCACCTAGTCCTGGTTTGGGTTTTTTCTAATAAAGAAATGATCTATCTTTTGTTGCTTTTTAGAAGGAGGAAACATGACTGAGATGAGACTTGAGAGCATGAGAGCACTTGGACAGCCCTCTAAAAGAGCAGGTCAGCAAAGCTGCAGCAAATCACACTCGTGTGTATATTTTCAGGTGAATATCATCTAGCATGTCAATCCAACCTTACAAGCATGGTCAGTATTTCCCTAGTCTCTGACCCTTTTCCTCCTCTGTCACTGTTCACATCCTCGCAACATCAACAATAGGAATCTTATCAGTGAGCACAGAATGGGATGACAAAATATGCCACTACAAGTACTGGAATGGGTCCACTCATTCACTCTCTTCCATAATAATATTCTTTCTGATCCCAGAAACTCTAATTAGTGCAAATTGTGACCATACATATCTTACCTTTGTTAAATGAGGAGGAAGAAAATGACAAAATAAGGAAAAATGGAATATGGTGTCAAAAAAATATTGTTGGCAGCCAATATGGCACTATTTTTTACTCATGGTTGCCAAAGAGTCTCATTAGGAACTTTTGCACATTTGGAAGCACTGGGTTTGACCTATGACCCCCTTTTACAGTATTCCTACCAGTGTTGCATCATTTTACTTTCCTAATTGAGCAATGTTGCACCACTTCAACTGATAATGCAACATATTAGGCTCAAATTATGTCCCTTGGTTTGGGAGTTGCTCCAGAGTACTCACCCATTAGTGAGTTGAGTCAAAATAATTCCTGCCAGATACTAATCGTGAGTTTTTGACCAGAGGATACACAGATGATCTTTTGTATTGTCTCATTCTAATCATAAGACATCAGCAAAATCCATGAAATGATATTCATTCCTTATGAATATAATAGTATTCTTTCCTCATCAATAACCTTAGAAGTTTGGGGCAACATAGGTTGACGTGTCTCTAATGAGTCAACATAAAAATACCAGAAAATTTCCAGAAGGGTCCACAATTTTATCCACGAACATAAATGCTACACAAAAATAATGTCTATCTTGAACAAGATGAAAAACACCCTTAGCCTAAAAAATCTCCTATTGGTGCCTGCCATATAAACCTCCATCCACTAGCATTGTGACCTGCAATGATCCAAAGTACTCTTCTATATGAGTCTCTTCCCAGAAGTCTTCAAGCTGTTGTCTGCTTTAGGATCTTCCTGTCACCAAGTTCAAAGCAAAGTCTTGAGTAACTCTGCCACAATCAAAGATCCATGGCTTCCAATTTCCCACAAAAAGAGACTAATGAGACACTATCCAATTCAAAGTAAGTGACCTTGGCTTTTACAGATTTGGTCTCTTGAAACCAGCATCAGACTCTAAAATTTTGACCCTAATCAGATATTATTTTTAAGAAGAAACAAAGGCATTCATAAAACTCTATAACCAGTGACATAGGAAAAACTCAACTTCAACTAAACTCAGGCTCAGCACTCGTGTGGTATTTGTAAACTTGGCTCTTTTCCTTGGCATGTATGTTGGTTTCCCTTCCAAGTTTCCATTTATGAATAAAGCACAGATCAAAATGAAGACATACTACCATTCAACTTATCAAGAAAAACCAACTAAGATAAATCAACATGTGATGAAAGGGATGTCACATACAGAATGTAGCAACATGCACATGTTTGGACTTTTGGAGAGAGTGATTTTTCATTTTTTACATACCATACATGTTCAACTGTATGAACATTGATGTCATGACTCATGAATAGCACACTCAACAAATAAAATGAAATGGGACCATCACATGGAAGCTAAACCATTTTCTCACCACAAATTGACTCACCTTGAATCTACATATGTGAATGCCATGTCAGGGGAATGCCTGGTGAGAAAATCAAATCCAGAAGTCTCAACTTCTGGATCATGAGTTTCAGCAATAGGTTGGCATGCCACAACCATGAATGACTGCTTTGTGTCTGCAATCTTCTCTCCATGGCAATGCATCACCTGTATGAAGGAGCAGTGGTCATGTTTCTGGGACTATTGCATATCCCTATACCTTGGGTGTCCCAAGGTAAAATGCTTATCTTGTACTTACAATCATATCAAATTAAAGCCTAAATGGTTGAAATCTAGAAGAGCCATAACTTACTCAAGCACTCAATCTTTCTAGATTTCTGGACAATAGTCCAGTCTCATTTTACTACCTAGACTGAGTTACCTCACTACACATATACAGGGAGACCCATATAAGTGAAAACATAAATATATAAATAAATTAAATTTTACAAGTTATAAATATATATTTATATTCCCTTCAATTTCCAGGACATAGGATCAGTTGTCATGGACCAAAATAATAATTGCCAAGGTCCTCAGATCTTTCACAAATGGATATTTACTTTTGGGGACATTTAAAAAGTCTTGTGTATTCTGTAAAGATTCTAAACTTAGGGCACCTCAAAGAAAGAAGTACTGTGGCTTGTTCTCAAATTGCACCAGATACCTTTAAAAATGCTCAGAAAGCATGGATAAAGTGGATAAATACATGCATTGAGAACAATGATGGAAATATAGAACTTATACTATAAATGTTATTTGATTCCTGTTTCCACTAAAATGGGCCACCCAATAGAGTTCTTCAAAAAAGCACCCACTAGTTTCTCCAGCTAGATCAATATGAAAAAACATGAAGCAAGGTGTGCAAATGGTACAAAAGAGAAGGAGAGGAAAAAAGAGGGTGTGAGTGAGCAAGTAGCTTTAAAAGATGTATTATGTAGCTGAGCTACATATCTCTTGGTACAATCAGAAATAATGTCAAAAACTAACCACATCACCATGGCTCAGTGAATAGGGGCTCAGGCTCATACATGGGAAGTTCAAGTTTGAATTGACAGGCAGCAGGTGGTATTCACCTGGCCCAACAGTCCATCCAGCTACTTTTAGGTGGACTGTCTTATCTGCTCTCCCCAGGGCTCAAGCAAAGGCACAATGTGCTACATTGTGTGAGGGAAAGGGGTTTTGTGTGCCTCAACAACAGCCTGGTGTGCAGTGATAGTTTAAGGCCCAAGTGCCATCGAAGTTATCACTTTCTCTGGGTCCATGAAAATGGGATACATCATGACAGAGCACAGATACATGTGGCAATACTGGCAGAAATGTCAAATAAGGATTCTCTTTCCCCTACTATGCATACAGCCTATGGTTGCATTTGTCTTTGTCTGTGTGTCCATCCCAGTCCATGTTTAAAAAAAAAAAAAAAAAATTTAAAATCCACAAAGAGCAGAAAACATGATTGACACAAACCAATTTTGCCAGTTCCTTCTTTCATCCTTTTGTAACACCAATGTTTCATCATTGTAGAACACTTACCCACCTTTTGGAACAATCAAAATTTTCAACAGTGGAAATGAAATCACTAAAATGTGATTCTTCAAAGTGCATGCAGAAAGTGCATCACAAAAGAAAGACCAAGTTTATGATGTTGGGTGATATTCTTAAACATTCAGAGCAACATAGGTCCAGAGGACTCAAAATCTTAATTTTGAGACATCTTCCAAAAACAATCCAATTACATTCTTTAATATTCTTTAATATTTCTGGCACCCAATCCAAGGAAATCCAAATCAAATAGCCCAACAAAACCATGAGTAAGATTACTTTCCCAACCTTCTTTGTTCAAGTAGTGCATAATTCATCATTCACTAGCCAAGAGCTACCAAATTAAATCTGCTTCTCACAGCTCAACATCTCATTGTAGATTTTTTCTTTCAAAGCCAAAGAAAAAGGTTTTGGTGGTCTCTAATTTTGGAATCCTGCTGCCAGTGAGGGGATGCAGATCAAAACGTTGAAAATAAGAGATACAGCTCTTTATTTAAAATAACTACCATAAATGATGCAGACTTGACATGAACAATCCGTCCTTTGCAACTGCCAGTATACTTCAGGCGGAGGAAGAACTCTACTTGAACTCCATGGTGTTTTCCATGGAGATTCTCCTTCAACTCCTCTTGGTCACAAGGATGCACATAATCATAAATGCTCTGGCCCAAAAGCTCCAACTGGAATGGATAATATTCATATAATACATTATCAAGGTAAGAATTATGCATAATGAGCAGTTATAAATGGTGGAATTTCAATTGCAGACTGCAGGACAAGAGCAACTCACAAGTTTCCTTTCAAAGTCATAAAATTAGACTCTAAGTAAAATTTTATAAAAAGTTGAATTCCATACTGGTACAAGTACTTTCAAAATTGCTGGAAATAATATTAAATATAAAGCAAAACTGGAGTAGGGGGACTGACAATCACAGCCATATTCAAATGTAGCAGGGTCAGACTGGCCCACTAGGATATCAGAAAATTTCACAGGGGGCTCTCCCAGACCTGACAAAAATTATAAGTGAAATTATAGCATGACAAAAATTATAAGTGAAATTATAGCAAACATTAATTGCAACTAATGACCATATTGTGATATTGATTCCATCAGCACTCCCAAACTGTGTAACACTATAAAAATGGTTACTATGAGTTATTATTCTAGGGGTCCTCATTTATTCTAGAATATTTCCCAAGGGAGCCCCTAGGCTGCCAGTCCAACCCTGGTTAGGAGTAACATTTCCCTCCAATCATTGAGAATGGCAATCACTTCAAAACTAAATAAGACAACAAAGAATTAAAATTAGAGTACTTTTCAGAGATCTTACTGATGCATGCTTCCATATCATGGTAAAAGAAGTATGGGAAACACGAGTTTCCATGGGATTCACTAATATCAGTGTGAAGCTGTGAATTCCTCAATTCAATTCAATCTCATTTTCCTGATGAAACCATTGCTCTTACCTCCCCCAGCCATCTTGCTGCCATCAACTTTAACACTCAGCCACAGAATTAACGAACATTTTACTCATAAGACATTCAAAATTAAGAATTGCTAAAGTCAGAAGAGAAACTGGCCAGCTGTAAAGTGATAAGTTGTCCACATAATGCACAAAGGTGCTTTGAATAATAGAAAATGGATAACAAACCTGCTGCAGACCAAGAAATCCTGTGACATTTTCAGATATGAAAACAATCTCGCCGTTTCCAGACAGTACCAAAAGGAAACCATGTAGGGCTTTCAAAAAACTGCATCCTTCAATCAGAGCACCTTCCTTTTTTTGATCTCTTGAACAGGTGGGCACTGAAAATAAATAAGAGTCAGTAAATCTTCCATTTGCAAGAAATGTTACTTGAAGGGATCCTCCTCAGAAGCCTCAGTGATCCACTCTGACATTTCACAATTCCATCATCTGCTTGATCTTTCTCTTATTGCTAATGACATTACTTCTGCACTGAAAAGCAAAGTCCACCTTTTTGCATACGACACCACCATATACTGTATGCAATTCACCTTCCACATGTCTCACAGGTTCAGGCAATAGCCTCACTCCAATAGGGCACAAAACTGATACTAAACACATTGGCTACCAAGGCATTTTTGACAGATTTTTCCCTCTGGCCCAAATGCATTTTTTCTCTGTTTTTATAACCAATTATCATATATACATGTTAATTTCCATTAAGAATGAAAACAATTTTTTGTGTTTTTTCAGAGCGTTGGTCCTATTGGACCTATGTTGCCCTGGGGAAACAACACAATGTAGGTCCCATATATACACATGGTAGCCAACATGATAAATTTGCACTACAGTGTAGTACATCTACTAAAGAAACCAAACGTATCATAAGGCAATAACTAAGGTACATGCAGCCAGGACCAGCCACATTTAAAAACAGTGGCCCTATAAGCAGCACTCACAGAAGTTACAAGTGAAAATACTCTGATGCTTCCAGCAAGAATAAGCATAGTTTTATCCACCTCTCTCCTGAGCATACATCTCACCACCCATGTAATCCTCAGAAGCTTCTTTGGGCTACCTTCAACCCTTTGCAGTCCTATTATTTTTATGTTTCACAGGCCAAAAAGTCCAATTTTTTACACTGTTTTTTATTGAAATAGGTTCGAATGAGGTTTTATTATTTCTATTTCAGTTGAGTAATTTCTAGCCATCTGATAAAGTAAAAACAACGCCTATAAACACGCAAAAGAATAGCACTGCTCCACTGAGCAAAACTATTGATATTATCATAACACGCCAACTTTGACTCAATTTCATCCCAGGGATGAGGTTGGACTGCAAAGGGTTAAAAGACTAATTGCTTGGGATGATCATATTCACAACATTGCAAAGTTCACTGTTCCCAACTCTGGTACAAACATTTATGAAACCTTCTTGACTTCAATTTAACCCTTGACATGAAATTTTATCCTCACAAGTGAACCAGGGCAGCATTGGTTAAGTTAACTTTGTATCTTCCACATTCACCCTAGAAGATTTCTGTCCCAGATATGTAACTGATTGATATTGCTATGATAAGTCATGCCAATATCTAGCAAATGATGTAATTTTGATAGGCAGTGGCAAGAGATTACAAGGTGAATTTCCTTGGAGATGGAAAAAATTATTGCTCTCAATTTAAGCCGTTTTTGAAATGGTCAATAGGATCAACAAAATAAATCAAAACAAGGTTATCCTTTAGGCAACAATTCAACAAATTTCATCATATCAAACTCAGTTGATGTAGTAAATCCAAACCTCCATCACAAATATGAACCTCAAGCTTAAATATTTCACTTACTTTCCTTGTGCTGGCAGCCACAATCTTCAGCATAACCTGCTGCAACTCATTTTAAATCAACATTAAAAATTCAAGCATACAGAAGTGGTTCTTCTGGAAATAGATTATATACCGGGTGTCTGAAAAGTCACTCCCTCTTTTTAAATTGCTATTGCTCCTAAACTGAAGGAGATATTGTAACCGTTCTTTCACTGTTTTAAGCTTAATCATTACCATTTCTATTATAAGTGAATAATGGTTGAAAAATTAAGCATAGAAGAACGAGCAAAGTGTGTGGACAATGCTGGAGCCTATGTTGAATTTTAACTTTGTAATAAAGCTTTTCAATTTTGTTATAAAGTAAACGGTAAAAAATAAGCTTCAATTCAGTTAAAGAAATTTTTCAATATCTCCTTTGGTTTAGGAGCAATAACAATTTAAAAATTGACTTTTTAAGTCACTCCCTATTTAAAAATAGGGAGTGACTTTTCAGACACCCTGTACAGTATATTTCACAGTATGCTGTCTAAGGCAACACTATGCTCCATACTCAAGATGTGGTTCTGATCCTAAAATACAAAAACCAGCCCACCCTGCACTTTCAACAATACATTTGTAGACATGCCACTGAGGGAATAGTTTTCCTACACCCTTGAAAAATTATATGAACTTCAGTTTTTTCCCTGCATCCATCTTCCACAGGGGAAAATATAAATTGTGTTGAACATATTTATTTCATTTACACCCTGCAGCAGACATGAAAAAATGTCTGTTGCAGGTTCATAAGTCATGGGTGGCAGATAGGATGGTTTACCCTATCTGCCACTCATCACATGTGGCATTAAACCATAGATGTGCCAATGCCCAAACAAAAGGTGGCATTTTGTAGGAATTATTGTATGGCTCTGATTAACACCCACTAAAGAAGTTGATAAGCCTATCTTGCAGTAATGATCCAACCACTTAGGACATAATTGATATCTTGTTTGTTTTCTGGAAGGCTCAGGAGGCAGTTCAGCCACTGAGCCAAGAAATAAATGGAGTTGCCATTACCATAGCATGGAATACCTATTGTATATAAATTCAATGTACTATGTCACACTCAGTTGTTGAGTAGCAATAGATGGTTAAGATACACAAAGTGACCCAATAAAAATAGCCAAAGTTCAAAGTTTAATTTGTTAAAATTAGATATTATGATACATTTAAATGTTTCTTTGCCACATAATTTCATAACTGGCATACTATTTTTGACATCTAAATTTTTAAAGATATAATATTATTTTTCTTTCAGTTTTAAGAATTGCAAAGCTTTTGGACCATTGGTTGCCATCTTGGTTGATATCAGAGATTATATACAAAGTGTTGATTTTTTTTTTTTTACCAAGTCATGAGAAATGCCAATCATAAGATAGTGGATGAATGGTAACAGATGTGTCTTGCATACCCACTCCAGAGGCCTAGAATCCTTCTTAGTTCAGTTTTAGCTTCAACTTGAAGGTGGAATATGAAGCCTACATTGTCTAAAGGGAAGGGGAATATAGGTATCTAAACATGACTAGTTCCCTCCACTCCCATATTTTGTATCCAACGTCACATGGAACCATTGCTTTAACCTTTTGACTGCTGGGTTTTTATGGGCCTGTAATACCCCCTGTGCTGGGTTTTCCCCCCAAAAATGCAAATTTCAGTTGTTCTTGATATTTACTTAATACACCTCGGTATTACTCACTATGTAACATATATGATGTCCATTTAAGTTGTTAAATACCTGACCTTTAAAATGGTATTTAAAATTTAAATCCCCTGCTGGGCCATCAGGACTGATGCCATATGGTGTCAGTAGCAGTCAAAAGGTTAAGGAACAATATGAGACTTTCATCAGAAGGTTCTCTTGATTTCCTACACTCAAAACCAATGCTATTCATATAGAAAGAAAAAAATACTTGAATAATCCAAAACCTTTAGATGGTAATATTCTGACTCCCTACTATTGCTTTGTTTTATCACCAGATGTCTACAAATCTAAGAGCTTCTTTTCAGAAATCAATGGTTAAATTTAAATGGCTAAGCATGCACATCACCTGCATAGGTCTAATTTGAAGTGGCATGGGAATGAAATTAAGCAAAGTTCAAAGTGAAGCAGCAGAGATTTAAATTGATCCAACTAAAGTTGTTTTCATTTGCTTGAAGGTTTTGATACAGTAAAAGTTTAAATGCAATCAGAAAAGGTGTAGTAAAGCTCTCTCTTCTGCAGCAAGAACTCAGCTATACAAAACCAGTGCCATTCCACCATGGAATATTCCTCACCACTTTGGGGAGGTGCGCTTCCATACATCCACCTATCACTTCTCAATAGATTTCAGGCATGCTTCATCGGGAACTTTGGCATCAAAGTGTAACCTTAAAATCATTGGCATTCATCTTCTCAAATTCTGTTCGGGCAGAAGACAACAGAGGAAGTGGACACTACAAATGTACATCTTGTTACTTCCCTTTCTTGCTTCCTTTTTCCTATTTCTTAACTTTTTTCAAATATATAAATGAATGAATTCTCAATAAATATTGTCAGACATGTATATACTTCTTCCCTAAAATCCTTAAAAGCAAGACACACTGTGCCTGCAGATTTATTATCATCTTGAAGTATGCTCAAAAATTATGTTCTGAACCCATGAAAGTCCTCAATATAAATCCATAAAAATGACTCTTTCTTCTCCCCAAAGAAATAAGGTGCCACTCTCTTCAAATGAATGTACCCTATACAGTTCATCAGACAACCACACCCTGAGTGCAGTAATTAATTACATTAATATAAGGTTAACAATGTCACACAGTCCCTATTGCACTATTCAGAATTTTTCAACCCCTCCTCTTTGAAAATAAACAACTTACTTCATTCATCCACCTAATCTTTTATTGACATATCCTCAGTCAAGTACATTGACAAATAAATTGGTTTAGAGGCATGTCTCTCTCAGCATCTATGGGTGTATGACCTTAGTAAAGCAATTCAATACACCAACAAGGAGAAATATTATGCATGTATCATCATCTTCTCTAAAGGTGATGAACAGACAACACATAGTCTGAAATAAGTGTTCAGAAAATAAATCTGTGAAAATGTCCCATTTTTTCCTCAATCTACAAGCACCCACTCTAAGCAGCCATTCCAACATGTGCACAGTGTCCTGTTGAGATGATGATGCTGGATCAATAATCCTACTTCAAGTAAGATAGTGAAGTGCCTTACCAAATTTCAAGGTCATACGACCAATAGATGCCGAAGTACACATCTAAGTAGATAAACAAATTTATGGTTCACCCTGTATTAATAAGGACAGGAAGAGAAGTTCTGTAACAATGAAAAACATGAAATTTTCTTTTAGTAATGGAGGGGCACTTCTTGATTAAGGTCCTCAGTGACTTACACAAACTGCCCAAAACTATAGCAATCATTCAGGAATGCTTACGAATGGATGAAATTACAAGAATCCTTCCAATTAAAAATGTCATCCTTGTGGAGGTAAGCCACAACACTGCATATATAAAATGAAATCTGTGTTTACACTCAGAGACATATGTCTCAATCAGAATGATGGAAAAAAACAGGACAGAAAAATGTGAAAGTCACAAAGACAGTCTGGAAGAACGATCATTGACAGCCAAGCATTTCCTCTTCAAACATATTATTGGGAGACAAGAGACTCAAATACTTGATACCCCAGTAATGCCACTGTTAGTCAACAACCAATTTTACTTACGCACTATCCCTTCCATATGGTCATGAGTCACATCTTACTGTGCCAACAACATATGTTCCAGTGTTTAGTACTAAATAAGGGTTGTGGCATGCATGCTACTTGCTACAAATTCATGGAGGATTTATGCCAGAAAAACCATACCATGTGTGTACAAAAGATGGTGTTGGCAGATGGAGGCACTATAATGGGGGATCACCTATTATAAGCTTACAAGAATATTATTTCCTGGGAAAAAGTTGCTGAATAAGGGAGGTGGTACATCAAGATTTGATTGTACACCATAAGGGCAGCTATATAAGCATGTATCTTGGAATGCAAAACATGTGAAGGGACACACTAGGACACATGTATGAAAAAAAAGAGCATTTACATACCCAGGACCACTATCATTCTCTCAATTTACTATTTTGTGCATGACATACACATGATGAAACAGACAAAATATACAGTGTCTGATCAGCACAATATCTATGTGTTCCACAAAAAGGTTTTTGCAACAAATCCAATTTTCCTTTGTATTTTGTACCAATTGTAATTGTACCAATACCCTAAAGAGGGTTAAGCTTACTTATTGATTTTTTCCCCAATTTCATTTATTTTTCATTTATTTTCCTTTTTCCAACAATTGGTTTTTTGTGGTCTAAGTTATTTTTACATCCTGTTTTTCCATACAAAGGAATGCAAAAAAATAGCCAACAATTAAGTTTCAGATTCAAGGATCATTAGCCATAAATTCAAAATTCTCACCAGAGTCAAGAAATGCTCGGATTTTCAAGTGGGTGAGTGCAAGTCTCATGATTGAAGCCTTATCTAGGGCTGCAGTTGTCTTCTCAGGAAGGGGGAGGCAGCGAGAAAGATCAACAAAGACCTCTGTCTCCTTGCCCCTTCTACAACGAGCTGCATTTCTTGATCTCTCTCTTCTCTTCTCAGTATTCCTGCAATTAATTCAGAAAAATCAGAAATACCATTCATCATGCACAAAACTAAGCTTCAGAAGTTCTGATTTCTAATTTTGCTCTTGGAGATTTAACAGAGAGCAACTAAATTTTCATAATATGGTTTATTATTACAAGTCATGGATATCAACAGTGGGTGCCCAATGACAAATGTCTACACTGTTTTCAGATTGAATTGGTATCCCCCCCCCCCAGGAGCATTTCCATCAAGTACAAGCAGGACACCTTGTGGGTGGAAGGTGAAGTATTAATAGAACCATCCAACAACCATGTGGAGCATCAGGCTTGACATCTAGAGGACTGTCTGGAAAGCTTGTGTTTTCTCTGTTCTCCACAGTTGGGGGGAGTACCAATTCAATCCAAAAACAGTGTAAACTAGGTCTACGTTGCATTTATGCAAAATGCATCATGGCTATTATTATTCATGGACCAAGAACTTTGACATTCACCATGAGCCCATAAAAATGGGATTAAAAGATTAGACCACCTTATAAACAAGATAGTGGGTTCAAGTAGCACTTTCTCAGTTTCCTCAGTAAAAGAAGCACTAAACACAAAGCATTCATTTTCCTTGATCAGGAAAGTACAGTGGTCTACAAGAACCTTGGGATCACTAGCAAAACAATGGGATTTCATTGAGCTATCCCCATCCCATATGCAGAAGTACGCAGTGTGTACAGTGAAACCTGTGGATTTGGCCACCTCCTATTTGCAGTCAGAAGTGCTCAGTCCCAATCGTTAGCTCCATAGGCTCAATGTTAAAATAACCTGTTTTATCCTGCCACCAACCTAATGCAACCAGCAGCCAAGGATTTGTAGACCCTCTGTGCTGGCCACTCCTTAATCTGGCCAGAACACAGGAAGGAAAGAAGATTGCAGGTTCATTACCTTCCTCTTTTCAATTTCCCTGCCTTGTAGCTTCCCTCTTTTCCTCCCTTTCACCTCTTTCCCCTCCCCAGTCCCTGAATTGACCTGTGACTTAATTGTCAAGGTCACATCTCTGTAATATCAATATTGGGAGAACTATCATCAAGAGTGTTGACCTGCCACTAGTTCTTCCCTGCATCTTGCTCCCTTTCTTAAAGGCCATCAAGTGCTATGGAGAAGCTGAGGTGCTTTTTGGTAGGGAAGGGGATGCATAAGTCAGTCAAGCCAATCATGAAATTTGAAGCATCTCTCCAGGAGCAAATGTGCAAACACAAAATGCATGCACGTAAAACAAACATTTAAGACTTCCTCACACTGAAATAATGGTCTCCAAATTTTTCTCAGTGTACATAGTTTAAATAAAACCTCACAAAATCAGAAGTACAGTACCTTTGTAGTATACAGTATGTTTAATCTTCCTGAAAAACTGATAAGTACCTCACAATTTGCCAAGAGGAAAAAGCAGGGGGGATTCCCCGCCTTATGGCAGCCACCTGTCACAACAGGCCAAATTTAGATAGTCCTTATACGAGAAAATTAACATCACAACTTTCATAACACTTCCACACCAACAAAACCAACTCCAATGCAGCCATCTTCAAACAACCTCGAGGAAACATAAAGAAAACAAGTTAAGGAGTGATTTTTGCATCACCCTGTATTTGTTGATAGTCCAACTGGGTTTGTTCTAGTCAAATAGTAATTTTTTCTCTTTTCTATATTCCTTTTTTTTTTCTCCTTTCTCATTGTTGACCACTCATTCTTAGATTTGATCCTCTCAAAAGCATCTTCAAAACTCTGGTATCACTACAACACCTTTGGGCTTTCCCCCCCCCCTATTCTTAAGAAACTGAACTTGTTTAGATCTGAGGTATAATTTTTTATTAATTTTATGCATTCTGCTCCTCTTTTTCAAAGTATTTCATTCTTCTTTTCATCACTTGCCATTTTTCATTTGCAAAATACATTTTGGAAAATATTTTCAATTTGAGCTCAGGGTAGAAGAAAGAAAGCCCAACAGCATGACTTTTCAGAGTTCTTCCATCCCTGCATCCAATTATGTACAGCCCTTTTGATTTTTCTCTTCTCTGGTCAATAATTCCTGTTCCATAAGCTGCTGAAGTCAAATATGGCTGCCTGGTATATAAACACAATGCCAGGTTCTACCACTCCTCGATTAGCCTTTGCAGTTTTTTCTCTTTAGCATATCCTCATTCAATGGCAACCAACATAGAGATACTTACACTAGTATTCAATTATAATAGTAGCTTCAAATGAATGGGGTTCACAATGCAAAATGAGTACTTGCATACATCAGCTCCAAAGTGAATCTCAAGCAATAGTGGATGCCAAAAAGGAGGGTCATTAGTGAGAAAAATTCAGCAAAATATATATAGTAATTACGCTAAAGTTGAGCCCGTTTCCTTAGTACAATGACGTGCTGCACAAGCAAGGCTCCATACTGAACAAATGCTTCACGCAGGGTCGTGAGTGTGTTTATCTGTAAAAGTTGGATTGTGATCTACAATATCAGCTTGAAAGCCTTTGCATCATTAGTAATGATATCACAAGAAGCATTGAAATGTAATAATATATTTGGACGCATGAATCGAACCAACGGCACGAAAGCCGACCCTGCAGTTCCTCAAAGTCGGGCCTGTGATTGTGCTTCATAGCCTCACTAAGCATCCACCACCCGGCGTGAAGGTCTTAGCAAGCCTCTATACGCGCACGCCGCTCGCCGTGCTGGCTTGCAGAGCCAGGAACGACTGATTTTGGACAGGCTGCATATTCCCAGCATAATTGCCTGAGAGGTACCTCCAGGAGGGAGGTTCAAAGAGGGGACTAGCTGGATATTGCTCGAAAGTCAAACTTGATTAGAATAACCGTGGCCTTTGATATAGATCTTAGGCTGACCATGGAAAGATACATGTACGGTTAGCACAACTAGACAAGTGGCATTGTACATATGAATGCAGAATTCCCAACCTTAGGCGTGTGCTTCACTTGCCTATGCCTATGACTAGGTATCAACTTTCAGAGACTCTCACAGCGATTCGGTCCAGAAAACCGACCCTCTAAAATATCGAATTCCAAGAACATAATGATGTTTGGTAAAGAATGTCGTATGAGAAGTCAATGGAATCTTGTGATATAAATGCTGGTAGTTACGAATCTCGGTGGTCATTCATGGTGTTGTATTATATATGGTCGGACATTTGTAACCATGATCTCAGTGTGCCTCACTTAAAGTAAGAATGATGTAATTTAAGGAGCTTGTTTCCGGTTGACTATATGGATTAACAACTATGCATTCTCTGTGAGACACATTTTAAGGTTCGCTTAAAACATGGATTTGAAGACGAAGACACAGAGGGCACTTTCACATACGTACGTTACATAGAGAAACAAGAATAACAAATCTGATTTTCTTGGAATGAGACCAAAAGAAGAGCCATTACATAAAAAGCATTTTCTGCTAGTTTTCATGAAAGACAAAAAGATATTATATAACTCCTAATTATACCCTTCTTTCCCTTCAATGAAAAAAGTTCCCCCCCCCTCTCATCTCTAATTTGTCCAGAAATTTCAACTTAAAACAGATTGCACAGAACACTTCCTTATTTTCTCCACAAATTCTGGCTTTTCAGAGAAGTGAATGCAATAGGGTCAACTTTTCTTTATATATTCCAATTTATTCTCAAGTTGAAAGGAAAACAACTGAGACATGGACTTCTCATTGCTCAACCCATTTGGTCCCAAGCTCAGTTTGCAATAAATGAACCAAAGAAAAAAACATGATGTTATATAATGTTATTATAAAGTTAACATGCCCATTATATAACACAATATAATGCAAACTGCATATTCATATGTATCACTTTATGTATATATAAAATGACACTAATGATCAGATCTGAATCACCCTTCAAACAGAAGTCATGGAAATTTCTAGTTGGGTCATTGCATAGAGCTCTAAACATATCAACTCAAGCAACCAGGAAGTATACTGCTATTATTAAATTACTCATCCACTTTATGATGGCATTGCCCACAATCGATGAAAATGTTCCTTGAGAAGCTATAAAATCAATGCTAAAACGTTCCAAGGCAAACAGGCAGCATTGAATAGTCCAAATGTTATATGTTCTCCAAAGTGCAGGCCTACCTTCTTCGTTCTCTCCTCTTCTTTCCTTGTTTACCCTTTCCTTTCACTTCAGAAAGAAATCCAGTCGCACACATTTTTCAGTCACTCAGTATCATATAATGCACAGCAAGATGATGCACTTGGTGTAGGCTGAGTTCCTCTGTCAGGCTAATAAGCCTAAGCCAAACGAAAGCCAACTCATCCTCAATTGACTTAGTTACACGAGTCCTGTTGTCGTGTTATCCAAAAGAAGGGAAGGGATTGTTAGGTCCGCACCTTAAAATACTAAGGTAAACTAAGCCTGGGCTGACAATACTTAGGTCTGGGCCGAACATAATGTTATTATAAATGCAATTGAAGTAATATGAAGGGGTCAGACTAAAAATGTGCCCTAAAAACACAACACAATGATCCTTGCCTAGACATTAAAAGAGGGGAGAAATGTCATTAAGGAATTCACATAACTTAGGAAAGCCGATAAGATAAATTAGGAAAAAGCTGATTAACGCAAGGATGAAAATAAGAACTGGCGTATTTGGTGAACTCTATGGCGTAGTGCCAGCTGCCATATTGTTTCACTCAAGGATGTTTCTTCGACTTTCAACCACGTCTCTAGCCCAATTTCAAGTTCACTAAAAAATCTAGTTATAATCATATTGTAATCAATACTTGACTAGTCTGGATCAAAATAATATTTTCCAAAATAGGCTGTGGATAAAAAACGGGTAGGAAAACGGTAACGGTAACGGGCAGGAAGACGGCTAGAGACTCAACATTCGAGTCCTTAATATTTTCAGAGTAATTTTCGTAGTAAATAATAAAGAGTATATTCAAGATCAGATGTTGCACCCCCGAGGAAGCTGTCACTGGTCTAGTTCTACAGGGTGGTCCAAAAGTCTCCATACATAGGGAAAATTAACACTTTTTAAAAAAGTGTAACTTTATTTTCTAAATATGCTCTACATACATATTGAATTATATTTCTTTTTTCAGATACCCTTTAAGCCATGTAGAGCATATTTTGTGAATAAAGTTACATTTTGTTAAAAAGTGTTAATTTTCCCTATGTATGGAGACTTTTGGACCACCCTGTAGTTTAAGTCTAGTCAGAAGTCGATCAGTCCCAGTCAACGAAATTTCTCGAAAGGTTGAGGTTTAGATAAGAATCCAAAAAAGATTAACTCAATTCGACTCAATTGTCTTAGTACCCAGACCGACTTTTATTCCCTTAGAACTCATGCGACGCTCTCTAGCAGAAAAGGGATTCTTGTTATATGGTCAGAAATTCTCGGGTTCTCCCCTTCTCCGCAACGGCAGAAGACTGGCACATGCAGCATCCATAGTCCTATCAGACGAACGATGCCTGAGAATAGCAGCGAGACGCAACCTGACGGTCAAATGTGAAGCATTTCGCGTCTGGAAACAACTTTCCAATAGACCCGTCTTCATCACGACAATGGGAAATGTGAGACGAGCATGTGTCACGAGTGCCAGTAAGTTGGGAGAATCACAAATAGCGTGACCGGCTTGTGACATAGAGCCGAAAAAATTCTCAGGCTTCGCTGACCCTGTCGAGAAACTCGATCGTTCTGCATCATGAAAAGAGTCAGCATATTATTGTCCTCGTCATTTTCCCTCAACCAATCTGTTAACTCATTCACTGGCTTCGTTTAAAATGGAAGAGGCTTCTTCTTTTGCAACCGGGTTTCTGATGAACCCTCAAAGAGTATTCATGCCCGGATGCACCTCAAAAAACCAGGAAATGTAATATACAGAGGCAAATAACGTGTAAAGAAAAATACTGGACGGAAAAACTTCGTCTTTCCTTCCATGTTATTGCAGCGGAAAGGGTTCAGGTGCGAAGGAAAGGGTGCACTATGGCTTTTTACTCAGTGATTAAAAAAAAATCACTTTCCTGGACTTCGTCGAGGCTCAAGCATTCATCTTTTAAATCCCTCTAGATGGAACACTTGTACTGTCGATATGACGGGATCATGGGGTTTAAGAGGAGTTCCCTTGATATATTTTTCATGGGGCCCTGAATCCGTGCCATGCTGCCATGACAGGTTATTTTCCCAGTCTCGTCGATGTCGTCTTACCTTACGTTCCCATCGATTTTGCATCTTGCCTTTTCCTGACAGTGATGTAAAAGAACTTAGACGGATGTCGGATAACGAGAGTCGTGACAGAACTCAATAACAAAAAAAAAATCCTATTGTGTGCTCTACATAATAATACGGTTTTTTGTCCTCCTGAAATTTAATTTGACAAAGGAGCGAGACGCACTTCAATGGGCGCAGACTCTATTGCTTCGGCGAAATTAAGTTTTCCATACTTGACGCTCTCATCAATCCTGTCTATTTTAAGCTTTTCATCATTTCTAGAATATTCATTACCTTAAATACTGCGTCTTTCACTTCGCGCCATTCCTGCTATCGTTTTCTCCTTTGTCAGAATCAACGCTCCTTCACGCTACTGATTCCTACCATCTCCTAATGTCCTCATTCCTCTCTTTCTCCGTGGCTGCATCAGTCGCAATGCTCCATGAATCGAGCTGCTGCCGGCTGCTTTCCTCTCGTTGGTAACGGTTTGAATAGTACTGATAGTACTTGGAGTACTTGCAGAGTCACCTAGACGGAATGCAAAGAGTGGGGCTCAAGCGTGGAATTTCAAGTTTCGCAGTTCCACTTAAACTAGCACTATCTAGGATTTATCTGCCTCTTCATCCGTTTCAACAAGAGCGAAGACGATGATAGACCACACTTCCAGTCGCCATTTTGCTACAAAACGACAGATGGTTTTCATAAGTCGTGATTGATCACTCTCTCGGGTCATCGCCAATCCTGTTGCTTGGTAATTGCTTCGTGTGCGGGTACTCGTCGAAGCAACAAGACATTATTACATCGAGAGCTGCGGGCTCAACTCGTCCTTCGTAAAAAGTACAAATTTGTTAAATCAAAATACCGGTCTCAACCGGGCGGTAAGTGGCAGGAACGCCTTGAGGCGACCGACCACGCCCTTTAATCTCATCTCAAAATCGCATCATAGACTGCGACATTGTAATGTGCGAGTTTGACTTCAACATCATCATTGCCATCCGGTAATACACTATAATAAAAAAAAAACATATTACCGGGTTAGGTTTCAAGCCTTGGTCCGCACCAAACAAGCAGACACCGCCAACAGATGTGCCGTTCCACCAAAGGGGGAAAATGCGCATCCGGAGATGCATTGGGCGGAAACGATACAGATGGCTATCGCGAGAGAGGATTCCTAACCTGGGGATCCGGTTTATGTTAGAGACACTATCACCGCCTACGCCCTATAGTGTTTCTTCGATAGGAATCCCTGATGAGGATTGATACGACGCATTTTCTATCCTTAGGATATAAGCCATGCCTTGGTTTTTTTTCCGCCCGAGACATTGCCCCGAGCGCTGTGCCTCCTACAATTTTTCACCTATTTAGAGTAAGAACAATTTTGTGCGTTTTAACAACTTCCCATGCCCTGTAACGGCGATGAGAAGTAGTTCAGTATCAGTAAGGAAATATCAGTGAGGAATATGTCCCATACTACGTCATGGATATAAATTTTGCATTCCGTGCGCTTTTTCTCATGCCCTTAGTAGCTCTCTGAATGCAGGCATGCATCTGTATTTGGACGAAGGCAAACCCTCTCCCCCTTTTTGGAGAGGGTGTGCTTTTGACAGAATCATGGAGCAGATAGCTTTGTGCGGTTTCGCTTCCCATACTTGGACCGCGTCCCCAGGTTAGGAATTCTCTCGCGATAGCCATCTAAATAATTTCCCAATGGACCTACGCCACCGCTGCTCGAACGCGTCCAGCGCCACCACCGAATGGGGTTGTAGTTCCTCGAGTAACTGCCAGGTGTCTCGTGCGTCTTCGTGCAGGGCGAGACGATCATTCATGGTTGTACCTTGAGATTGCGATCATTGCCACTCGTGTCGAAATACAAGACCTTGCCGAAAACTTCTGTTTTCTCAATGGCACTTAGCTTCACGTCACGCACATCGATAGGCGTATTCAGTCTTCGAGATTTCACTTCTTTATTCAGTAACGTTAAGCCTGATCGAATTACATCATTCATTACAAGGTTTGACATGTTATTCCGAGCGTAGGGAGGCCTCCGTTGAAGAGGCCAGGGCCCCTGAACCCTATGAACTCGAAATTTCCATTCAGATGTGCTCCCTGACAAACATCACAATATGCGTCATGCCTTCCAGAGATCCCAGGGAGCTCCAGTAGAAGTCGCAATTTCATAGCTAGAGTATCGCATCGATTCGTTGACTTTTCGAGCACCAGAATGCAAACAGAGAATAAATTAGAGGACTTCGTTTGGATTCCCACTCAAACGCCGTAAAAAAGACAAACATCGATCCAGCCCCAGTTCTTGGACGAGGCAATTTCCGACGGAGTTCCTCACATTTGAGCTGCCCCACGGCAGCTGTAAATCAGGTGGAATCTCAGTCCAAATGAAGCACGATAAACTCTGCTTGTGCACGGTATACCATTAAAAGCGTCAGTTCGCAAAAGTGGGAGAATTGCGAATTCCAACCCAACCATTTCCATGGCATGCACATTCCTATGCAATATTCCTCTAACATCCCTTATGCAGACTCATGAAGAGAAGAAATAGCAGGCCCGCGGGATGCCAGGAAGTAATGTCGTTGATTGTCTTCGATTGTCGCCCACGAGTGCGGGTACAGACGGCACATGTGCGTTGAGTTGGTCATAGCAGACAAATTGGCTCCCTGCTCACTGCCTGAACTCCAATCAGTTAATTGCCCCTCCTGATTTCTATTATGTCTTTATCGTAGAGATAAGGACGAGGACAGTCACGGGCGACACCTACCTTGAAGACGAAGAATCGTCTGATGCAGTCAAGTGTCCGCAACGCACGACGCAGATGAGACTGAAGCACTTTCGTGACTTTCCAGGACTCTCGAGTCACTGAGTCACTGTTGGACCGGTCAAGAGGAAATGAAGATTTTCCGCCTTTCCCGGCGGAGAAACTCGCCGGAAAGAAAAACAGCGGAGAGCAAACTCGATTCCCGCCTGTTAAACTCGGCTCGCATTAGTTGTCTCTCGAGGGGAAATGGAGACCTCGTCCACATCTTCACGCTTATTACTATTATTAAAGAGAGAGGCGACTCTAGAGAGCTCATCAGTCTCCATCTTCACCCCGAGTCGCTTTCTCCGAATCGAGTGCTTAGGATAAGGAATTCTCGACAGGACGGAGCGGAAGTGGGAACAGAAAGTCATTCGATTCTTTTCCATAACGCAATACCGTCGAGTCGGAAGGCATCGAAAGGAATGCAAATCCCGAGAATTCTCGGGAGTCGGCCGGGTCCTTTGAATTCATAAGTCGAGGATGCGGCACAGGCGAAGGCACGTAATAAGTCTTGGGGTGCAAATTTGCACTCTACCAACCCCATAACGTATCACCATATCTATCATCTCGGCGCTTCATCCCGGCTCAATCTCTTCGTACCCATCTCTAGCAATAATCAAGCGGATGTAACGCTTATACAGCATGGAGCCGCTTTCATTCATGCTCGCCACGTCGGCAAGGAAAATGCGTTTCACGTTCGCACCGCCATTTCCTCGGATGTCATGGCATCCTCCGGCATTATCAACTTCCTGCTGCCTTCCATGGCATCACGGACTGTGCAGTAATGTCCCTTTGTGTCTTCTGGGCTCATGCACAATGGAATGGGTTCGTGTCATGGTATCCCATCGGAGGGCCTGAATAATGAAGTCCACGTAGCTCTGTGACCTTCGATAACTCGAGTTTTCCATCTTGTTTATTTTTAGATTTCAAATAAAGCCGGGGAAAATTCTCGATGCGGTGGGTCGGGGTCGAGGGGTTTGACACGTCAGTCTGGATTACCCCAGTCGTTAACATATCGTAAATCCGAGAAGATAGAAGTCTCCTGCCGTTCCAGGAGGAGACGGTCAACTCAGATGAATGCTGTCGATAAAATTCGGCTCTTTTTTCCTGTAATAACACTCGCAGGGGCCCCCGCGTCGAGGGAGCATTTCCCTCATCCGTCTTCTTCCAAGAAGGAAAGAATCTTCTTCGGGGGTTCATAAATGCGTCTGTCTGCCCATTTACCCGTGCACACAATAGACAGAGAAGCACCCCCTCCCTCATCTTTTTTACAGATTTCACCCTGGGAACAAAGGAGAAGGCAGGATCTCGGAACCATCTGTCGTCGAGGGTGGAAACCCGATTCAAACCAAGAATGTGGAAAACTTTGCTCCGTCGTGCATGAATTTCCTTCCTTCCTGCTCAACTCTTCTCTCGTCGTCGGGATCGATTGTCGAAGGAGATCTCAACAAAGCCGGATCGGATCTCCCAAGTGTGTCAATTTGACCTGGAACCTGAGAACAAACCCGAGCCCCTCGAATGCTTCACAGCCATAAACCGGGAGGGTGGGATCGAAGGGAATTTGTTGACAGGGTCATCCTCGTGGCGCCAAGGCTCTCGTCCTGTCGAAAAACGAGACACAATTAGCGAGAACGAGTTTTTATAGCTCGAATCTTCCGCCTTGCTTGGCCCGGTGAAAGGCTCTCGGATGACGGCAGATGTTGAAAATAAAGACACAACTCGGTCCTTGTAAGGACGAGTGTGCCCATCTGGACGAGCATTTTAACTATCATCTCTTGCGAGGGGGAGCGCTACCTCTGGCATGCCATTTTGTGCTCCAGTGGATCAGGGATGACTCGGCCTTTCCTTTTGTTATACGCCTCACCTAAAGGCTTTTGTCTGGTGCTCGCCAATATTCCCCCTGCCGTTCAATTAGAGTCGAGCCCGAAAATCCAATTTATTCTTCCCCCCCGAAAGTCCCTGGTGGGAAGATGCGCCCGGTCTCTTCATCAATCAGACTTCTTTCCATCCCCTTTTCTCCCCTCTTCCTCCTGACCATAATCTACCGAGAAGAAAAAGGGGGGGGGGGGGGGGGGGAAATTCTCGGCGGGGTTATATGTGCGTTTCCCCCGTTCAGATTGGGTTCCGATCCATTCATCACGCGAGGCGTGAACCGAATCGCTCCTTTGTATTTCGCAACATGTGCCACGGATTAGCTGGCTTTTCCTCCGGGTGCTTCCATGGCACCAAAAGTCCCCTTGTCGAAATCTCCGCGGGAAAGGACACAGGCCCCCCGCTTCTTTTCCGGGAAGGAAGCGGAGGAGCGGACGAAATCTGAGATAATTCTAAGCCGGGGTTTCGTGCCTGGGTGATGAGTGTTCCTTGCGCACAAGTGGAGCTTCTCATGGCATGATAAATGAGCGGCACTGATTATTCAGGATGGCATGACAGAAACTTCCCGATGAATGCTATTTCCAGACAATGGAGGAAGTGCCATAAAGGGGACCTCCGAAACGCAAGAGCGTGACTAAGGACAAAAGCAGTGGATGCACTGATTTAGGATGAAATGCAGGAGAGGAGAAGAGAGGAGCTTCCTTTTATAACCCTCGCGGCTGTTCTGTCATGTCCACAGCTGATTGCCTTCCATTCATTCATTCGGCGTCTGGAGAGACGTGAGGATTCCAGCCGAGCCAGCCAGGCTAGGCAAGGGAGACGCAGGCCCCCTGCTCTCCCTCCTCAGTCTGGCTCTGGCCGCCGCCTCGTTCGGATCGTTGTGGCCGCTCTCTTGCTCCGTTACACTCTCCTCGCGCTTCCCATGGTTATTGATATCACTCCTCTCCCGGGGGAGCCCGTGTTTTTGATCTGCTGGATACATAACTCAGTGCTTGTTTTCTTTCATTGATGCTGGTGATGAGCTGTGTTTCTGCTCGTGGCGGTTCCGAAAAGATCTCGCCGTGTTGTGTGATGTGTGTGAAGTGCAGTTGGAATGCGTTTGATTATAGCTGTACCATTGAATAGCTAGCTCTAAACAAAACAGGAAACACGGTGGATGTTTCGCAACTGCCTGAAGAGAGATGGGCCCAGTCTTTACATGTAACCTACAGGAAACGCAATGGGGGGGGGGGGGGGGTTTCAAAGGAATCCATTAAATGTCTTATTCTGCTTTAGGAGTACCATTTCTAAGAATGAGGATGACGAGAGACATAGGAATGAATTTCTTGATGATTCATGCAGGTGTACCCGTTCTTGTAGTTGTATGTAGGCGTACTGAATCACAGGCAGATACTAATCGTTTCTTTTTCTTTCCTTACTAAGCTGGCCTGGCTATAAAGGATGTGATAGAAGCCCCATCGAGTGAGTACTTCCAGAATGGCTGTCAGTGTTTATGGGTTTCAACCCCCACCGGCGTACGGTGCCCTAGGAGGTATGACTGTGCCAACAGGGCCTCAAGCCGTGCCTCCCAATTATCGGAATCCTGAGAATCATCAGTTCCTGTTCTCTCAGAGTCGGATGCAGTGCCCCCATCCTATGTGCAAGTGTCGGACCGGTTCCTTGAAAATGAAGTCTTATTCCGTGTCTGGACGGAACATGTTGAAAAGTCAGGCGCTCCCCGCCTATGGAAGGCGGATATGCGAGTATGGAAATTACCATGTGGATGCCAAGTATACCAAACCTTTGACGGTGGATACAGCCACGGAATACGAACTTCCTCGTCACTTATATCCGCCGAAGCACAGCGAACCCATCCTCATGATTCATCCCGGATATCGGAAGTACCTAGAAATCAAGCATAAATTCGCCCGCATGAAACACATGTCCACGAGTGCCACGAGCCTCATGAATCACGATGTTCATTTCCGGAGTGCTTCCCATTGCAGTAGTGTCTGTGATTCCTCTCAAAGCATGGCGGGACATGTGCGGCACAGCAGTGTGCCAGTATTGGATTTCCGAGGATTTTCAGGCGCTGATGGAGCCTGCCATAAACGACCAAGCCAGATGAAACCCTCGAAGAGCACGCTTTGTCTCAACACGATGGGCCCTGGTGCTTACGTGACGGATGCGATCTACGGCGGCACCCCTGCCCTCCCATCGTCTTCATCCTCGTCTTTCCGTAGCGTCATGGCAGAAAGATGTGTGGATAGCGGCTGTGATGTGAACCCCTTCAAACGACCCAAGAGCGATGCTGTGATCACCAACGTGCCATACTCCCAGCCTTATCACGACTCTGGGTTCCTCCTGGCGTCGGCCAACGGAAGCGGCAATCCATCGCTGTCCAACAAGGAGAATGCTTGCGGACTGGAAGTGGGGCAGGCAAAGGAGTCATCAGTATACGACGAGACTCCAGGGCCGATCGTGAACGTGACGAGATCCAGCCTGCCTCCACCCCCACCCCCGTATTCCGTGGCTGTCACGTCTAATCGCCCGATCTCGGAATCTCTCCTCCCGGCCTCCAAACAGGCTAATGGTTACAGCCTGCCCAAGAACCCCTATAATCAGAAGATGGGCTTTGATTTCCCGTCCTCCAAAGGGAACAGCTTATCTTATGCCCAAGGGGCTGATAGCGGGTTCTGCACTCCAGATGCCATCAATGGGGGTTCCTCGTTGCCCTTTCTGCCAGAAGGTAAGTGGAGAATATATTGCACTGTGTTCTCTTTAAAAATCCCGTCCCTATTGCCTACCCTTTTCCCCTCCATCTGGGGCCCCCTTTGGAAAAGTACAAAGGAACGATGCATCGCGGGGGGTTCGTGCCCGAAAAATACACCTAATACCTGGCCCAACAAAGGAATGAGGGGAGGAAGGAGAAGCACTTTGCTTCGCCCCTGGATCAACACGAACCCCCGACGGGCCAGTTGGTTCGAAGATTAGGGGTTCCAGCTCTTCATTTGAATGCACTTTCCAGAGAAGAAGGAAGCAGGGGGAAAAAAAAAAGATGGGGAGAAAAAAAATAATTTCTCCCCCCCGCGGGGTCTCTTTTGGAGAGGAGGGAATATTTTAGAAATTGCAGGGGAACAAGAAGGGTTTTTCATGCTGAATAATAATTGTTCGAACGTGCAGTCATGCGCGGCTCGTTCTATCGTGTGTGCAAGGGGCCATGAAGGAGCGCTTTTCAATGCTCTTTCCCTCTCCAAGTCATGAAAAATCCTCGATTGTTCCGAGGACGAAGTGTGTAACAACCCTAATATCCATTGACCAGGGCCAGAGGATATTGTTCTGTTCTCTCTCTCACATCGATCTGCTTTTGTTACGCGTTGTTGAGCAGAACTTCGTGAGCTCTCTCCTTTTTTCTCGTTCCACCTGCTCTCCAAATAGAGGGAGAGGAAAAAAATTTCACTCGGAAATTCGCTTGAATTTCTCTGCCGGTGTGCCTTTGTGTCCCGTTCTGGATTGGTAGGTAGGAATAGAGAAGGCGAAATTACTGCTGAACCCCTTTTCCTGGCTCGCCGAAAGTGGTTCTGTCATGCATATCCATCTCTCGCCTCTCTCTCTCTCTGGCTCTGTCTCGAGGGGAGGAGAAACTCGAGATGGTGAGAAATCATCGTTAGTCTAATGAGAAGAGCTTCTGTCACGTCCATTTGAAAGCCTTTTGCTTGCACTGATAACCCGGGCCGACTGCTCGGAAGGAGACCCAGAAAACATGCCTAGCTCTTCTTTCTGCGATGGATTGCCAACACATGTTCCTCTTCGCCGAGACATGTGTGGCTGGGCTGTTTGTGCGCTAATCATCAAAAGCGCGCATGTATGTGTATACATATGCACATATGTGCCAGGTCTTTCGGTAGGTCTGAAGCCCATGCATGCCGTTTTCACCCTTATTGTTCCAGCACGCCATGCATGCGAGAATCGTTTCCTTTCAAGCCTCCCCCTGAATTGCGGTATTGTCCCGGGAACAATCGACAAAGGAAGGGAGAAGAAAATCTCGTCCCGGACCCACCTTTTCCCATCAAATGGACCATTGTTCGAGATGGGGGAGAGAGGGAGAGATTTCCTTGAGATGAGATTCGGCTTGTCAGGGAGACGGATCGGAGTTCAGACTGTGGGGGCTCCCCATGCGTGACACTTACATATGAGGACCCCTCCAGCCCTAGCAATAATTGATAAAGCTTTTGAATCTGTGTACACACAGTCGGGGGGGATGTGCGTGTGTACGTGTATAATGGAAAGTTCCCGGGAGGAAGAAAGAGAGACGAGGGCCAAGCCATACGTGACGTGGTGCATACGTCGATAAGGGTGTGTCTCCCTGTTCCCGAGCGAGCAAGAACAAATTTCTTTTTGCACTTATCGATCTCAGCAGCTGGCGTTTTTTTTTTTTGTTTTGCTTTTGAAGCCCAAATAATCAAGTGTTAGTGGGGATGGGGAACCCAGGGCCCTTTTTTCCCAAAGCTCGATCCATCACACAAGCGAAAGAAGCCTCCTTCCTTCGCTCTGCATTTAAATTGGACACTTGGCCCATGAAGGGAGGGGGGAGAATCGAATATGGGCAAAAATTCGCAGCCTGCATGACAATGTCCGGGGCTATTGAAGCCCAGCAGGGAGTTTCCCCGATTCACTCGCGTGCAATGCACGGCGTTTTTGTGGAGCCAGATCCCGTTACCGCGGCTCATGTGTCATTATATCTCTCTGCCGCACCTGTATGCTGATTTGGCATCCTCTCTCGCTCCATCGTGTGGGGACACGTGCATGAAAAGGCTGTGTGTGTCGTCTGGAAGATGGGATAGCAATCATCAGTCTCACGAGCTGTCGTTTTCAGCACGAAGTTTCTGGGACAGCTGTCTGCTTCAACAGGAAGAGGGAGCAAAAAAGAATCGAAATGGGAGGGGGAAAAATTATCCTTTTTTGTCAATGGGGGGGGGGAAAAAAGGAAGGGAGACAGCATGGAAGAAGCTATCGTTCCCTTCCATCTTATTTTCCCCGGCAGCTGTTCCCTTAATTACAGACGTTATCATGCGTCTGTTGTTGGCGTGGGGTTTCGTAAGGTCACGAAAATCCGGTCCTAACGAGATCGGGATTTCGATGGCAAGAGAAGACGAGGGAGCTTCGGCTTCTTCGTCTTCTCGTTTCCCACGATCGACAACTTGAAATGTTGTGTGGAATGACATCTGGGATGCTCTATGGGACGTGACTCCAATCCAGAAGAGGTCCTCGTTGATGAGCATTTCGATGTGAAAGAGAGGGGGGGGGGGCTTTGGGATTTTATTGCCTGTGCACCCTAGCGTAAACCTTCCGAGAGGTTGTCGTTCTACTCCATTTCCTGGAAAAAAGAACCAGAGGGAGGGGGGAGAGGGGCGGATGTACCGCAAGAACAAAAAAAGACGGAAGGTTTTCTTATACATTGTCTTGGTTGCCTTTGTTTTTCTCGTCGCCATCTTCCCTTCCTTCCCTTGGTCTTATTCGTTTAGTCATCACGTGACGGGAGAGAATAGGGGGAATTACTGAGGGAACCCCGCCCCATGAGCCCGGGAAAAAATTCCTTTACAATATTACAGGGTTGGGAATGAATTTCGATGGACGACGTTGATTTCTGCCAGCCCTTTTTTTTCTTTCTCCTCCCTTTCTTTCCTGTTCGAGCCCATTTGAGCGCGGCGTCATTATTCATGGAAGGGACGTAGTGGACCGTGCAGAGTGACTTTGTATCATTTCCAGGCCGTGAATAATGCATCTTGCGGACGAGAACTTGCATTTTTTATATTCGTCTCATTCTCCTGACCTCCTGATGTCGTTTCCATGACAACGTGTGTAATCATATTATCTCTCGTCATTTCCCTCTTTTGAATGCACCCTCTCTTGGTTCCAATTAGAGTCGCGGATCTGGATTCCCCCTTTTGGACTGTCATAATCCGAATGCAAGAAGAGACCGAAAAAGAGATTAAAGCATTAACGAGATGCCGCCTCATTATTGGATATGGGTCTAACGATTGGATTCCGAGAGGAGGAAGTTACTGCGTGTATGTACCTTTCCCCGAGGATTATGAGTCAGTCACTCGTCAATCGGCTTATATGATATACAAAAGAGGGCCTGGCGATAATGGGCCCGGCAGAAATGGTTGCCCTGATAAATGGAGCCTTCCTCTATCTGCATGTTTCAGACCTCTTTCGAATGGGCTGCGTGCCAATGAATGGACGAAACCCACCCGTCGCCTTTGTGTGTGTGTGCGGAAGGGAAAAAAAGGGAGGAAAAAAAGTATTCCTCGCAGTTCCTTGTTTGGCTATTCGATATTTTTTCCACCCAGTCTCCTGCATGCTTGAAGATGCATCGAGGGTATGGGTTGGGGTTGGGGTTGGAAGGGGGGAGACCGATTTCCCGGATATATGAGGCTGCATAATTCATCCGAACCCCCCCCCCCCCTTTCCCCCCTGCTTCTAATGGTATGCCGTCTCTAATGACTTCGCTCAAATATTAATGCACATGCACCCCCCTCTGTGGCGCAGTGTGACGGTCACTCGGATGAAGACGTTTATTTATTTATTTTTTTTATAGTTTTTCTTCCTGTCTGTATCTCTCGTGGGCCTCCCGGGCCGGGCCGTATCCTCGCATTCCTTCTCAAATGAGAGGCGGGGTCCTGGTTCGGTTTGACGACCCCCAAACACCTATCAAGATGGGTTTTAAACATTCATGTCATGCCTACCCCGGGACTGATCATGCCGGGCCGGGTTCCAAGGAAACGATAACATGGCAAGGCCCATCCATCATCTCATCCGGAGACATGGACACGCAGTGGATTATAATAAAGGCTACCCCCTTTTCCCCATCTCCTTTCTTGGGATTTGGGCCTGTTTGTCCGCTTTTTGTCGTCTCGCTGACCCTTCCGTCGTCATCTGTCATCATTTCTGAGATCCCAGAACGCGGGGAATTCCATCTATTCCTTTCCCTAACGGGTTCCCTCTCTCTGGAAATGGCTTTGTGTCATCCATTTTGTACGATCCAATCCATGACAGTGCCATTAAATTTGCAAGGAAATCTCTTGTGGGCTCCCATCGACTCGAATGGGAAGGATCCATACACCCCATTATCGGGCCAGGAAAGGGAAAAGGAAAAAAAGAGCCGTGGAAGTCGTTCATGGATGCAGTGGCCCTGCTATCGCCATCGCTTTTTCTCGCCATTGAATCCAAACGCAGCGGCTTTTCAATGATTGATGACGGAATCGAGAAGAAAAAGAAAGGGAAAAAAAGAGGAGGGGGGGGGGGGTAGGAAAAAAAATCTCGTTATAGCTTCACGCGAATCAACGCCTGCCAGAAGTCCTGATGGTCCCATTTCATATCCCATCTCCCCCATCCCCACCCCTCCCCCCCAGTGTGATTGCCCCACTCTGATAAAAAAGAGGGGGGAAGCCGATTACACTCATTGAGTTCATGGCCTATATCGGGAGGGGAGCTTTCCCTAGTAACTCCTCTTAGCGAAAGGAAAATATAATGGAAATGAAATGTACACAACGTGAGGGGAACTTCGGAAGATTGAACGGAATCCTAGCCTACCCATTCCCATCCCATATGTGGTCATGAAATCCCAGCGTTCTCAAATATTTTCTTATTATTAACGGTTTTTCCTCGTTTTTTTTTCATTGCAGCATCCTGGGACTGGGTGTCAGGAAGAGGAGGCGTGAATTTGAATTTTCCATCCACGTCCAACTATGTGATGGCCGGGTCGAGTCAAGGTCCGCCCGTACACACCGTTTGTTATGCCATGTGCTGAGACTTTTTCCACTGAGAACAATGGCATCATGTGATCTTCTCCTCCCCTTTTTCGTCTTCATATAGTCGGGATTGTAGTGCATTATCTTTAGCTTATACATAGTCCGCCTCTTTGTGATCCGTATCGGCGAAGCAGAATATTTTTTTGTCGGCGTAAAGTTGCATGGTGGAGCATGTCTGTGATACACAGCGAAAACGATCTTGATTTTTTTTCTTTCATGTGTCTTCTTCCTCCGACCCACGTCAACGGCAGTGCACGTTTATTTTGTACATGTCTTTGAATGGGGTGCCGTTCCATCAGTGTACATACTTCCTAATGGATCCTCCCCTGCAGTGTATGGAGAAGAATTTCTGAAAGAGCATGTGATAGCCCCTCTTTGTACAACTTCGGCCCCCCCTCATGCTTCATCAATAGTTTCTCACGAACACACTTCGTCTGTCTCTGTCTAAACACACACTTGGAATCGGACCTGGAAATAAAAGATGAGACACGATCGAGAGAAAGCTTTGGTTTCATTCATAATGCATGAGACGATTTGGAATGCCCTCCCTCGTCTCTTTGCAAAAAGGGCCAGGCTTCATTAAAATCCTCATCCTCGGTCTCTGTACGAAGATGGCATATAACATGGACTAGACATTTCCATAATAAAGTCAATAAGGAGGCCCGTTGGATCTCTGGGGAGACCCCCACGTTTCTCTGCTGTGCCTTGTCCTCAAGGCTGTTCCAAGGAGAAAGAAAAAGAGGGAAAGAAAGAAAAAGAGAAAAGTTTTTTTTTCCTTTTTCCCCTTTTTTCACGGTTTCTTCCCATAGCTGATGATTGAGATGTTTCGCCTTGGCTTAAAAGCGGGCTCCCTTGTTCCTTTCCTGTCTTCTCCGAGGGGGAATCCACGGCCCGGCCTCATACCAGATGATGCTCGGAATCACGTGATTCTCATACCGACCGAGTCATTCCGATCTGTGCCAGGTGTCGACACGTTATTAGGAGGTCCCTTCCTGGAGAGAAAAGAGGGTTAAATGTTTAATGAGCTGCCATTTATCCGTCTGGCTGGACCTGTTCCTCCCCACACCTGCTTCTCTCATTTTTTTCCCCCCACCCGCTTCCCGATTCGGAAGAAGGAAAGCTGTTTTTCCTCAGCTGCCTCACGTATCTCGGCCTGGCACTTGGGGGTGAAATGGACCCTCCATTATCTGGAGTAGATTGTGCCGTAGAGCCCCCTGTTATCAGGCAACTTCTCCATTTTCTCCTTTTCCCTTCCCTTTCCGCTCGTGGATTTTGCATTCCCGGTTCGAGTCCCGACAGGTTGTTGACAGAGCTGGATTATGCGCCTCGTCGCGTATGCGATGCATTTTCCCAACGGGAGAAAAAG